CAGTCTGGCTCTTAGGTAAGTTTTCTCAGAACGTGCAATGAATGCATGGGAAAACTTTAAGAGATTGCAAAAAAATTAGCTGCAGAATTTACTTTTTATACAATATAAATCAATTGTATTCTTTTAATGATACTAGATTGTTTAATACATGTATATACTGTAGAAGTACTTTTTTCTGCGTGGTATTAATTTACGCTATGTACGCGGTCACAAATTTTCTTCGGAAATATCTCCAAGCATATTTAATATAAATGTAAGGCATAAAGTGACAGTCTAAGAAATCTGCAAATTTTCTACCCACGGATTAAACAGAAATTGAGATTCCGCGGAATTATGACCCCGAGGAAAAAAGTACGTCTACAGTATGTACTTAATTTTCATGCTGTAGGGACATTTTTTACTTTTATAAAGCCAATGGTTGTTTGTTCTTGTTTTTAGTGATGATGGGATTTATGCAGCAGTAGGGACTATCTCTGGCAGTGTGGCTGTGTATATCTCATTCAGTCTACAGGTAGGGTACATCATGCTGTCACAGTGTGAGCACAAATCTGGCATAGCTAAAGCATGGTTTAACAACATTTCTTTATTTACTGATAACACTGATGGAGGTCATCTTGTTCTATGGATCTAATGCGTTCATACATTTGTGTAAATTCATTGCAGAAACTATATTCTGTCAAAGAAGCCCACAGTATATTTGTGACTGGCTTGACATTCATGCCAAGTTCCGAGGGAGCACAAGCTATAACGGGAACCCAGGATTTTACACTTCTCAGTGTTTCAGCAGACAACACGATTCGCATACACCAAGTAGCTCCTAGAGGTGAGGATGTCCTTATTTATAAATCTATCTGAATTAAGAAAGGTATTATTGTTATCATCAAAATTAAACTATAATATGGGTTGATGGATGCTGTTTAAATAAAAATATCTGCGTATTTGACAGGTTCTTACAGTGCAGCTCTGGTGGTTGTCCTGTTTATCTGCTTCATCTCCCTGATCTTCTGGCTGATATCTGAACTTGGACTATGATTACAGCTAAGAGGGTCATTGTCAAATTGTCATAATACGTACTTAGGATCAGAAACTGTTCGGCCTTTGTTATGCAGTGAGGTCAGTGAAGCTGTGATGTTAATTGTTGGCTGTGTTTCAATCTCACTGCCTGCACTGACAAAATGGAATCTCACTAGAAGATAAAAAAGTCATACAAAATGTCTCTTACCGGGGTATTCATTCATACAGCTCTTTAGAAATAATTTTGTACATGTCTGAAGTTTTTTTTCCCTATTTTGGTTCAAAAGAATTAGTAAGTAAGACCCCTGCCACAGGGGCTCAGTGTTGACAAGAATGTTCTGCATATTGTGAAAATGCATTTCGTCCTTAAAAAATCTCTCAAGTTCTTTATTAACAATCAGCTTGGAGAGAAACCAAGTTTATAGCAGTAAAAAAAATGAACAGATGCTTGAGTTCCCTAAGTCACTGGGCTTATTGTATTACATGTAGCTTATGTGCTGTTGCCATAGGCATTCAATTTTAATGTAAAAATGTGCAGTTTCTAACTAATGAATATAGTTGTAGCAGGTAGTTCTTGACTTTTATAAAATGAAATTTATTGTTTATTTTCTGAAAACAGAAAATAAATTATAGTTGTCATTGCACATTTTCTTTTTAAAATTACAGTGTATTTTTATATTTATGATGCCATTTTTGAAACATTTCACTCTGATTACCCAATATTTATACATATTTATATGATTCTGTTGTAAAACTTATGTCATACAGGTATGATTGGTACTGCCATTTTCTTTCAAAATCAAAACAGTTTGATTTAAATTGATTTACATGTCAAGGATCAGTATTTAATGTGGGATGATCCTCGACTGACTTGACCTTTGATAAATCATTGGATCAGGTACATGTAAAGTTGTATATATATACATTGTAATTATATTATTTTCTATGGTGCTAATGAAACAATACCTTAATTAGGGCCCCGCTCTTTGGATGTCCTCTAATTTGTTTGAACATATTTTATTGACAATATTTCAAAGGGATTGAATGCAAGTTCCAAACACTTAGATAGTCCTCCACTGATCATGCAGTCTGTCCATCCTTCTAATTTTTCAAGAGCATTTTTCGTCTACCCTTGTCCAACTACAGGTAAAGAGTGTACAGTGACCTTAAACAATTTTTTAGATGAAAGGTCAAGGTTAAAAAAATCTTTGTTTAATGCTTGTTGAAATCATATTTTATCAACCCTTGGCACAGTTATGGTAATACTTCACCAAAAGAGTGCATGTGGGAAGAGGGGGGATATATTCTCTCCTCTTGGCCCATTCAGACTTAATACTTAAATTCACCTATTGATTCCCTGTGGGTAGATGTGCAGTGACTTTGAGTAGACTTTTGTGAAAGTAAAGGGCAGAAAACCTTAATGTGTAAAATCCTTATCCAGAGTATATTTTCCCTCCCCTTGGCCTTACCTAGCTCAATCTTCACCTGGGTGTGCAGTGACCTTGAACCAATTCTCATAGGTGGAAGGTCAAGGGCAGTAAACCTTTGTATAAATTCTTATCAAGAGCATACTTTCTCTCCCCTTGGTCCTACCCAACTCCAACCCTTTAGAGTGTCCTTGAGTTGAGGATATGCATAGTCCTCATGCCAGTTATTTAGGTTTGTGATTAGGGTCGTAGCAAATCTATAAAATTCTTCTTGGTTCTTTTTTTTTTATTATAAGCCCTATCTGGCTTGATCTAATCACCCAAAGAGTGCCCTTGTATAAATGTCTTTCTTCTTAGTGTCTTTATAGAGGGAATACAAGGGTAGATTCAATTCTTTGTAAAAGAATGGATAATGGAAAAGAAATATTATTTTCTCTTTGTGAAGTTTTTATTACCGTATAAGTAGAATTTTTAGCGAGGATTTAATTTTGGCATTATTAGCGAGGGTGCTGACATCGCTAAAATTGAACATCGCTAAAAATTAATTGCGTATTATTTGCAATAGCTTCTTTAGTTAGCATTTTGAAATCGCTAAATTTACTTCTCGCTAAAAATAAAGTACCAGATTTTATGCAGAAATCGCTAACTCTGCGTCTGGCTAAAATTTCCACTTATACAGTATAATGTTACATGTATCTTAAGCTGTCACTTCTCAGATCAATAAACACATCTGTATCTAGTTATTTGAACTGCAGCCAAGGTCAAGTGTGAATGTGTGGATGAAGCATTCATTGGATGCTGGCATTTCTCTCTTGTTGTTCAAATATACATTTAGTTGAATTATACATATTAAGAATAACAATGAAAAGAATTAAGAAATGATTATTTCCTTGTGTAAATACTCATCGTCTCAAGCCACGGTCCGGAGTCCGCATATAGCTCTCTCCTACCCGTGGCTGCTTGATCACAAAAAGTGTCGTAATTTTGAATATTTACCAATCTCTATTGTGACGTCATATTCAGTTAATGACAAGTTTTGTTTCCATTGCAATTGAAATCAACAACTTATATCAGCAGTATTTCGTACATTGTGATTGGATATTGAAAGGTCGCATGTAAGGTCAATTTCCGACTATGCTTTACTCGCATTGGTCAATACTTTAATGAGCTATGAGATATTCTCGTCTCATGCAACCACGGCCAGAATTGGAGAGGATCATACATTATGAACGTGGTTTGCGACGATGGTAAATACTAAGAATTAAACTATTACATGTAATTTTTTACAGTTATGAAGTAAGATTATATACTCATTCTGTCAGAATATTTGATTTCTTTTATATTTTTTCAAATCATAATATTATCCTATCCATGCATGCATATTCTTGGAAGAGGCTCTTGCTAATGTCAGTTTTCTAGGGTTTTTGATTTTACAATTAATGTTATACTCTTATGATGGTATATATTGTATCTTGTTATTTATCTGTGGCATTGGGAGACACTTGTGTTTTCTTGTATCACAAATATTATTTTGATAGGTCGTGGATTAATTATGCTTTATTAGAAATATACATTACATTCCTACCAATAATGACTTATATTTCGTTGTAGTCATGGCCATTATTCTCTAATAAATCACATGTAATGTATGCAAAATAATTTATTGTTTATAGGATTATTTACAATAAATCATTTAGTGATTATAGAGTAAAATTATGTGTTTAATTCTGTCACTTTGATGACTAATTTGACAAACTAGACTATATATGGTGTGTGTATGTATCAGCCTTCATAGTTCAGTGGCAATCTAATTAAAATCAGACTTCTTAGATCCGCGCAGAGAGTATACGGCGTGGATCTAAGAAGTCTGATTTTAATTAGATTGAGTTCAGTGGTTAGAGCACCAAAATAGTAACACAGGATCCCTGCTCTTGATTCCTAGTCAAACTATTTCCTTGCCACTCTGATGAATAAGAGCATTCTGAGAGTATTGAATAAGCAATGCCCCCTACTGGATGATGAGGGATCAGCTGGATAATTTGTTTAGTGCTCAGCAACAAATCCTAAAGTTGATATATTTACCACTATCCATTTATCACTATCCCCATAGGGACTAAACAAAAAAAATTTTTGAGCAATTCTTGAGTAAACCCATTTTATTCCTTCTAACAAGGGCATATTTCAGTGTCTTTTAAAATCTTTCAAAACTTCCTTACTTAGTTTAACTGCAACATACCAGGAGGAAAGATTCAACAGACTCTCCTGCAACCTGATCTCCTGATCCTTGTGTCACAAAGGAGGTAGGGTAAGACTACTTTTTGGACCCTGGTTTGGGGTACATGTCTTTAGAATGATGCAGTAGTTTAGAGATTGAAAACCACTTATCACCCCTGCCACAAAATGAGCATTGGTTTTAAGTTACGGGATACAAAGGTCACAGGAAGGTCAGAAAATATGTTAATTTCCGAATTTTCTCATTTTTATGCAAATTTCAATTTTACAACAAATTTTCTTTCAGAAAACATAAGAGCACAAGCTTGCTTATTTACCAAATTTATATACTGTAAAATCTCATATTTTTGTGGGGTCAAATTTTCGTGGTTTGAAGAAAATTTCTAGGTTCGTGGGGATTTGATTTCATGGATCAAGAATTAATGAGTACTTGTGTATGTAACATTTCACATATCGTGGTGGTCATGAATTCGTGGGTCTCGTCATACCTCTAAAACAACAAAAATTAAACCCCCACGAAAATTTGTGATTTCACAGTATTTCATATATATACTAGCATCAGATGCATCTTGTATGTTAAAATCTCAGATAGGCAAGCTTGTGCTCTGTTTTCTAAAGTGAAAAGTATCTCAAAGAACTATATGCGGTATATTGCATATACATGCCCCCACAAAAGTCAGATTTTGAAAACTTCCTGAAATGTGCTGAATTCAATAAATTGTATGAGAAATATATATTAAATGAACATATTATAGTTTCAAAGCAGTTTATTCACAATTTTTGTTTTTATGACGTCACAAACTAGTCTGATTTTATATCCTTTTCAGAAAGAGTACAAAATGGACAAAATTTCAACAATTTTAGCTTTAAAGTTTATAGAGGGCATGCTTGTTCAGGAACAATATTGACATATTTCATTGATATTATCATTCTACACATTATATCAAAATATTGATCCTGAACACACATGCGCTCGGTGACTTTTACTCAAAATATCGACGAAATATGTACATTTTTCTGTAGAATTCATAAAAAACTAAAATTTACGTCATGTTTGTGACGTCATTACGTACATATGACATCCTTACGTATGAAATTATTCAGTGCTTTGAAATCAGCATATACTCCCCGTTTAAGAACTTAATTAAATATACCTCCATCAAAGTTTGATTTGGGGGGCGAATATTGGCTATTACCGATTAAAGTTCTTTGACGAAATTCCACTAATTTTGAGAAAATTGTGGGAAAACGTCCTATTTCTGCACCCTCTTGTGGCCTCCATGTATGCTTTGAATCAAAATTAGTGCTGGTTTTAAACATGCAACAATTCAAATTCTTAACTACAGACTATCTCTGTTTTAAATATGTTCCGATTTTTTACATCAAATAAGGGGCCAGATTCAGTGGTTACCATACCTTGTCCTTTATAATTTGCAACTTTGACCATCATTACCATGAAGGTAATTTGTCTGCTTTATATTAGGGAGAGAGATTTTTAAAGAATACACATATTTTCACTGTTTGATCAAGCCTATTATATCTTCTTCTAAGGTTTCATAATACTCTATTCCTCATAGAAGAATTTTCAATGGTTATGATGTCTAGCTATGACATTTTCGTAAAAATGTATACTATCTATAACACATCTGTGACATATAGTAACTGACTTGGCCATACAAAGAACAAAATCAAAATTATATCTATAAATTTATTTTTCGTCTTTTGCAATAAATAACAATACAATTTATTTTATTTATTTAAATGTACTTTTTTTTATTTCATAGATTTTTTTAGGATGATAAATAGCTAATTTTTCAACAACAATTTGTGACAATTTTGTTAGTGATGTGTAAACATGACCAGCCACACAACCCTCAAAAACAGTATGCAGCGACTCAGCTGTAAAGCAAATGTGTCATGTTTCGACATTATTTATCATGATTCATGTACATTGTTCAATGCCTATACCTGAATAAAAATTATTATTATTATAATTTATAAATTACATGTGCATGACCATTCAGAGAAAACCGAAACCTGAATAATCAATTGATGTAAGGTAATTAGGTACCAGGTAATCTTGAACCATATTGGACACTTGAATTTTGCATTTAAGAAATTTGCATAAAATTTTCAAAGAACCTTTATAAAATGTAAATATATAAATGAAAATATTACATTAACAATATTTTACAATTGGGCAGAAGTAATAATACAAATAAGGACTAGAACTTTTACTGGCTAATCCAAACTGGGCGCTGATGTTATGTGAGTAGAAATCACATATACTGAAGGCTAGTATATATCACAGATCGGCTTTATAAAATAAATATGGCTGCCATAACTAAAACATGATACATAAACTCTGATATCATTTTTCACAGGAGTATGGCAAAGAAAAAAATTCCATCACAATTTACAAATACCACACAACCTTAACAGCACTATTAAAATTTTAACACAAGTACATAACAACTGATATTTTTGACATTTGCATTGATGCTATTTTACATATTTATCATCTGGTTCTGAGCACAGGCCCTCAGAGCTTAAGATAAATAACAATTGATGTTCATATTGAAAGGTCTCTAAGAAGTTTGGAATGTTCTGTGGAGTATGGAGGGGATTCACAAGTTGGGTTGATCCTGGTCCTCAGATAGCCTTACTGGCGGGTCGTAGCCAGGTGTCATCTTGTAATGTCTGGCCTGATGGTGGTCTAAACAAAAACACAACATTCTTGACATTAATGTCATCAATTTTAATGATATTTAAAATTGATAAAATTCCAACTAACTACTTTAATTTATAAATGATCTTGATGGTTCCTGTCTGGACATTTACCTGTTGTATCTCTGTTTTGCCATGAATCTATCCAGAATGTCATCAGGATCAGCCAGAGAAACTTCATCTGCTAAAAATAAAAATCTCAGTTTTATCAGTCAAATAAAACTCTCATTTAATATTCTCAGTCAAATAAACTCTCATTTAGTACTATCAGTGAAATAATTCTTTCAGTCAGTGCTATCAGTGAAATAATTCTTTCAGTCACTGCTATCAGTCAAATAAAGCTCTCAGTCAATATTATAATAGTCAAATAAATCTCTCAGTCAATACTATCAGTCAAATAAATCTACAAGTCAGTACTACAATGTATCAGTCAATCAAAACTTGCTGTCTGTAAAGTAAGTCAAAAATCTGTAATTTCCATGTAATTAAAGCAGTTACTCATAAAGTACATCACACACAATGTTTAATAACTTACCATTCAGTTGGTGCAGTCGTCGTAGTCTGGCATCATTTTTACGCTGGATCCTGTCAACATCCAGACTTGTCGTTGATCCAAACGGATTTAAAGGTTGACTCTCAGGCTGATAAAACAAAGATAACTATGATGTTTTACAAATGACATATACAAAAATAATTTGCTTGTTTCAATTACTAGATTTATATTCTGGGGGTCTGAATCCTAGGATCATAAATCAAATACTTCTAATAGAGCTAGGACTCACTGTTCATCATTATCAATCAAATAGTTTGCTTTTTCAATGTCCAGAAGTAAAGAAGCATGCCATTTTAAATTCAAGATTAATTAATTAACTCCTATCAAGACTGATATGAAGACACTTATCAGGATTCAGACGAGGATGCCAAACTTCATATCAAACGTGGAAATAGTTTTTAATCAAGTTTTACTTCACTAAATTGAAATAAACATTTCATAAAATTTGTGTACTAAAATCTGTTGATTTAATTTGTTTGTTGAACTCAACAAATAGAGAAAGTTTTATAATAATTATAAACACAAAACATAAACCGGAAAATTGTCAGTCAACAAAGCTCATACAAGCCAGAAAAAAATTCAACTGTTTCAACTGAATTTGAGAAACTTGAAAAAGAAACACTGAGGAATCTTAGTACAGTCAATATGAGGATTAGAGTATGTGTATATGGGAAAAAGGTTGATCAAAGAGACACTGAGAATGCTGTAGAAAATTGTGTCATAAATGAAGGTAGATGCTGATTAATTTCCATCAAAAAAGTCTGTTTAGGCCTTCAATGCAGAGAGGTAACAAACGTGTCTGCATTCTCTTCAAATGTGCACCATCAGTCGAAATATTGTTATCTGAATCACCTATGAAATTATCAGACATTATATTAAATAAAAAGATGAACAGGCTGCCTATTTTCTCCAGAACTGTTAATGAGTTATAACATTAGGAGAAAGTGAGCATGTTGGAATGTGTTAGTTGAATCACAGTTGAAGACTTTGGCTGGTGACCAGCCTTATACCTACTGGATTATATCCTACACTATCCACCTACGGATACAAATCATGGAAGAAAATTAGCCACAATATTCAATAATTTAACATTTAATTAAGTTTTAGTCTAATCAAACTTGAATTTCTTGTGAAAGTTATATATTGATTGTGGACATGAGAACTTACTCTTGGACTTAGTGCGATTCTTTCTCGTCTTCGGTTGCGAGCCGACTCATTTCTCTTAGGTAGATCCTCAAAGTCATCAGGGAAATGGTTAAGTCCATCCACATCTAGGGGAAAATCATAGCAAGATGAATATTTATAATAGTAAAAATCTTCTGTTTTCTTTAAATTCACATTTCAATGGTCCTCCATTGTCGGTGAATGGAAAATCTAGAGGAGTACAGTTTTCTTGCAATTAGTGTTCATTGTAACTAGAAATTTACTTTCAAATTGATATAATTAGTTTCTTGAACTTTGAGTATGCATTTGTAATACTTGATATCTGTGTGTTTTTTAAATTTTAATTTTGTACATAAAATCACTCCATTAATGTTAACATTTTAACTTTAAAAATGTTACTTTCTCAAAAAATATTATTCATTAAATGCAATAAATCAAATATTTAAGTTTCATTTTAAAATTATTTCTCTCTGAGGTCATACATGTATGTACTCTAAGATCTAGGGAGTATATAACTGACTCATATATTAGTGAATGACAAGATCTTCATGGGTTGATTAATACTTTATGTCACTGATCCTTGCCTTTTGAACAACAATAGATTGCAAATAAAGATTAATTTGACTGAACACATTTATATTTGGTTAACCTACAGACAGGTGAAGTTATTTGTCAATTAATGAAATTTGCTAAAAGGTAATCATTGTTGTCTCTTGAAAAAGATATAATGTCTTCTATAAATTAAAATATAACCCAGAACCATTACCCTGTATTGTTAGTGGTGTTAATAAGTGATATAAATGATAAGAATGTGACCAAACCTATAAATGCACTGTTTGAGTTGAGCATGGAGCGTGGGCTCACAGTGCCCTGCCGTGTTGTCATGGGCGGTGCACCGAGACCTGTACAAAAAAAGCAGGTGCCATACAGGTTAATGCATCTACATTATATACATAGATCTGCAAATATAAATAATGAATCTGTATGCTAATTGTTTTGAATAAATATTCCAAAATTGTTAATTAAAGGAGATTATAAGATTTGTTGTGGGGAGAGGAACATTAATAAACTTCTGTTTACAGGGTTATTTTTGTCCTGTTTTATTTTTGCCCTTTTTTGTTTGCAAATGATTGTGCCCTACTTTTGATTTACCCAGACACTGTTGCATTTTAAAAGGTATGACTCGGTTTCTGATTAATTGACCCAGTTAAGAAAAGGGCAAAATAAACTGAGAGAGAAAATCTTCCTGTACACAGTATGTACATTTAGTATGTATTTCATTTTCTTAAAGACTTACCAATTAACTAAAAACATAAAATTACTGGCTCACACAAAACAATATTCTTTGATGTGTAACTTGACCATACCCCCATGATCTGAATCTTATGGCACAGTACTACCCAAGAAAAGATGTTCAAGTTTAGAAGGAATGAAATTAACAATAACTTAGTTTGTTAGCTGGAGCAATTATGATATAATGATCATAGATTTTTTTTCTAATCTACCCCAAAGAAGAAGAACTCTCTTTTCAGAATTACACTGCCCAAGAAAAGAGATATGAGGCCCATAGTCCACAAGACTCACATGAGTTATGATGGCCCTGCAAATTTTTATAAGCAGATTTTTTTCCACACTTGTCTGCAGGAATTGGTGGGTTTAATTGATAAATAAATGATATCCCATGAAAAAGAGCTGATATGATCTTAATGATATTGTTACCAATGTCTTAAACATTTGAAGGTGCATGATAAAAGACTCATGAGAAATAAAATGTGTTAGACACCCAAAAGGCTAGAAAGTGGCTTAGTTTGCTATATAGCAAAGAGAAAGCACAAACTTTAAGGTAGCAGTGCATATATATAAATATGTAAAATAATATTCCTGGGAAAAGTCTTTAGAGTTATTATTATACAGTTAAGAAATATTATGTTCTTTAAAAGAAATTATTTCTACATGAGCTCTAGGAAATAGAAATCCATAATCTACTAGATAAATACTTCTGTCAGATCGCCGTCCTTTCCATGTGTTGTAATTGGTTGGTGTGTATCCTTAAAAGGAAATAAGAAATGAACCCATATGAATGTGCATGCAAAACTGCAATCACAAGGTGTCATACACATGTACATGTATTTGAACTCAGAAAAATGTGACTCAGTCTGTAAGTTTAAATTGACCAGCCAGAAGACTTCCTCTGGTCATGTGATTAACTCAACCCAAACAAACCTGGAAATTTATCTCTTTCTGGGAACTGAATTTCTGTCACTGTTGGATACAAGTGAAACTTTCTTGAGATATATTTCTAACAATCATTATTGTAACAGAATGTTACAACTCAAAATATTAAAGAATATATTCTCATCTAAGAGCTGCTTTAAAATAGTCAAAAATTGTCTCCAAGTCTTGCCCTCTTTCTGTGACTCTGTGATCACTCAGTGTGAATAAAGACAACAAACCTTCTACGCCATGTCTCCCACATCTACTGCAACTGTCTGCCAACAGCCAAAACAAAACATCAAATACTTCCTACCAACCACATCAAAGTTTGAAGGACCTCATTACACTTACGTATATTAATATTACTTCGCATTAAATTAATGCCAGTTGCATGTAAATATTCAAAATCAGCCATTATGCCAATTAAGTTAACTTTTGTATGTTTGTATAAAAATAAATTAGGGAAAAGTGAGTCGAAGGTCACAGGGAAGGTCAAGGTCATAAAATTATATAATACATGAATTTGAATAGCTTTTACCAATATTTATCAGAGAATGTATTTCAGTTATCAGAGTAGATTTCAGTTAACATATTTTGAAAATTTTCTTTGAAACTGAGCTAGACACAAACTGTGACAGATGGAAAGATCAAAGAATGGTAATGACAAACACTACATGTATATGCCCTGGTTAAACTCATGGCAGCTAGAGCAAAAAATCAGACTGCTTCACATTTTGATCAGTTCAATGTATACCATAAAGTCAAAGACAAGTAAGTAGGTTTCAAAAATAACATGATAAATATTATTCAGTGCAAAAAATAATTTTATAGTTTGATGTCATTTGTAACTTTTATCTCTTTCTCCAATGAGTTGAAAAAAATTATGAAACATGTGTTGTTTTTCTTGTTTTTACTTTGTGTATAAAAGTTTACTTTTATGTCATAAGGCTGAAAATTAAAGAAGGCCTGATGAATGATTGGTATTATTTTTGTCATGACTGCCACTTTTAACAATATATTGCAATTTACTAGATTTAAATTTTTTTTTTTTCATAAGTTTTTTTTCATAAGTCCTCTATTGACATCTGACTCCAATTTTATGAAATTTGGCTGTCAATTTTTTGCCATGGTAATAGTGCATAAAAGTTATATGCAACATATATAAATCTGTAAGCTGAAATGAAATTATCAAATCAAACCAAGGTCAAAAGATCTATATACGACAACAGAATATATACAAGAGGCCCATGGGCCACATCGCTCACCTGAGAAGCTTTGACCATTCTGTTCTTTACCAGATTTCCCCCTTGCTATACATAATGCATCCCCACCCTACCCCACTGATCATAATTTAGACATTTTGAAATCTACACTAACCCATGATCCTTCCATGGGCACATATGTTTCAGCTTTTTTGGCCCAGTGGTTCCTGAGAAGAAGATTTTCAAAGATTTTTCCTATATATTTCTATGTAAAACTTTGATTCCCTATAATGGCACCGCCCTTCCCACGGGGGTCATGATTCCTATAATTTAGAATTTACACTACCCTAGAATGCTTCTATATATATAAGCTTCACTTTTTCTGGCCCAGTGGTTCTTGAGAAGAAGATTTTCAAAGATTTTTCCTATATATTTCTATATAAAACTTTGATTCCAAATTGTGGCCCCGCCCTTCGCCCGGGGGTCATTATTTGAACAATTTAGAATCTACATTATACCAGGATGCTTCCACATAAGTTTCAGCTTTTCTGGCCCAGTGGTTCTTAAGAAGAAGATTTTCAAAGATTTTTCCTATATATTTCTATGTAAAACTTTGATACCCCATTGTAGCCCCACCCTTCCCCCAGGGGTCATTATTTTAACAATTTAGAATCTACATTATACCAGGATGCTTCCGCATAAGTTTCAGCTTTTCTGGCCCAGTGGTTCTTGAGAAGAAGATTTTCAACGATTTTTCCAATATATATTTCTATGTAAAACTTTGATTCCCCATTGTGGCCCCGCCCTTCTCCCGGGGGTCATGATGTGAACAATTTAGAATCTACATTACACCAAGATAGTTCCACATAAGTTTCAGCTTTTCTGGCCCAGTGGTTCTTGAGAAGAAGATTTTCAAAGATTTTTCCTATATATTTCTATATAAAACTTTGATTCCAAATTGTGGCCCCGCCCTTCCCCCGGGGGTCATGATTTGAACAACTTAGAATCTACATTATACCAGGATGCTTCCACATAAGTTTCAGCTTTTCTGGCCCAGTGGTTCTTGAGAAGAAAATTTTCAAAAATTTTTCCTATATATTTCTATGTAAAACTTTGATATCCCATTGTGGCCCCGCCCTTCCCCCGGGGGTCATGATTTGAACAATTTAGAATCTACACTACCCCAGGATGCTTCCACATAAGTTTCAGCTTTACTGGCCCAGTGGTTCTTGAGAAGAAGATTTTTTAATGACCCAACCCTATTTTTGTCTTTTCTTGATTATCTCCCCTTGCGAGGGGATATGTCCCTTCATTTTAACAATTTAAATTCCCCTTCACCCAAGGATGCTTTGTACCAAGTTTGGTCAAAATTGGCCCAGTGGTTCTTGAGAAGAAGTCGAAAATGTGAAAAGTTTACAGACGGACAGACAGACAGACGGACAGACGGACGGACAGACGGACGGACAGACGGACGGACGACGGACAAAATGTGATCAGAAAAGCTCACTTGAGCCTTCGGCTCAGGTGAGCTAATAATAGAGCAGAGGTTGAAGAGAGCATGCCTAGGAATTCAGAATTGAGTGCACTCACTTTGTTCCTTCATGGACTTGAGTGTGTCCTCCTGGTGTCTGAGCAGAGCGTCCTGCTGAGCTTCCAGTGTCTCGTTAGATGTGGGAGCGTCTGGAAACATGCTGCGGAAGGCCTTTCTGGATTCTGTGTCATCTTTTTTAAAAAGAGTTTAAGAATGATGAATTAAACTTGAATTGCATGGGCAGATTTTCTAAGATTTTCAAGAATCAAATATAGATCAAAGACGATAAAAGTTCTCAATTTTCAAAACATTCTGATCTCAATTTTTTTTCATAATACATGTAATATAGTTTCTCTGTTTAATCTTTGAATGTTCCATACACTTTGTTGATAAAATAAGCTGTAGATAGATTTTCTTTAAACTAACAAATACAATAAAGGAGGTACTATCAAAAATAAGATACTATAAAATGAAACCCACTTAAGAGTCACCAACTAAGGCAGGAAAAACTGATCAAATAAAGAACACACAATTTTAAATTTTTATTTTCTCAGCAGTGCTGATCACAACATAAATTTGACATCTATAATAGTTATCAACACTCAAAGAGTCTACAAAATGTCACGTTTTATCCTTTTTAGCTACAACAGAAATACAACAAAGCTCATGAAACATTCCTAATAAGTATCAAGATATAATTGATTCACTTCATTCTCAACAAAAATTCAGTTATGGTTCTTACTTTTGTATTTGAGCTCATTGAATTCCTGTATATTTCGTGGATTAAGGTTTTCATTGGCTCGGACTGGGGCGGGCTCCCCGAGTCTGGCCCTCTCAAACACGTCAATTTCCTTCCTGTAATGCGAGTCCTAGGATTAATACTTTACACACAAAAGAGTCTTTTAAAAAAGACACAACAAATAGACAGAGAGACGGACCAACTGAGTATTCTTAAATCAGAGAAAGCTCAATTTAGAATACAGTTCAAGTGAGTAAATATTTAAATGGAAAAAAATGCAGTAAAACATACGGAGGAGGTCTTTGCACTGTTCTTGGATCAAAAACATCAGGTTCATTCTGTCAAGAAAAAATAGCAATCAAAGTTGAGAGAAAACTTTTTTCAACATTTCCGCTTCCTGTATTATGTAACATCAAATGTAAAATACAGTGTATTATGATGCTGTTTAATTACATCTTAAACTTTAAAAAAAAATAAAATTGAGAAGTTGGTTTTATGAATACAGACAAAAAAATTGTCTCAATTCAGATGAACTCCATGTGTTACCCTCTGTGTTTCCAGAGCATTCTCCACTCGCTTCCTCTCACTCTGTAGCTGTTTCCTCATAGACGCCAGCTCCTTAAGGACGTCTGAACCTGTCAAAAGAGGAAATATACATGTACATGTAAGTATCAATCAGTAATAGTTATAACACAAGTAAGAACAGAGATATGAAGGATAACTTACTGTTGGCTCTGGACAAAGGCTGAGGTGGGGGTCTTGAAGACTGCAATAAAAACAAGTGATCTAGAAGATTTCTCTTATTATCAAAGAACATCAGTCCTCACCTGTTACCAACTATAGAAGGGTTCACATTATAGGAATATATAATGGACATGCATGATAACTATGCTAATGTGCAAAAAACATGCAAAACAAATTGATAACAACATCAGGAAACTTAATACAAACAAAAAGGAAAACACCACACATTTGTGTGATGGAAAAAGAGCCTCTTATATGTCACGTAAAATTATGATCTGCTTTCTTTATTGATTATATGATAGTAATTAAAATTTTTCATGTAAAAAAAAAACAACTTTTGTACACAAGAAACTGAAAAAGGTAAATTTTACTCAAACATAACCTTGGTAATTTTCAATCAAAATAAATAAAGGGAAAATTTTGCCAAATGAACATTACAGGTTGTTCACATAACTATACTATGTTTTGACTGGAGGGAGACACGGAAGTTGTTTGTTGTTACCTCGTCTGGGGGTGGGTCTTTCCGTAAGGCTGGGATCGGTGGAGAATTTCGTGTGTCATCTGATGTCTGTGGATAAACGTAAGCAGGTAAAATACACCTCTAAAGCTACGAAAACTAAAACCACATGCTTAAGGATGTACATGCCTCAGCATAGAATGATTAGGTTGAAATAGGCATTTATATATTGATATCAAGGTTTAAATATAAAATTTTATTCAAAAACTATATTTTATGCTAGCATAAATGATTTTCTTATTTTTTTAAAACCTGAAATCAAATTAAAGAAAATAAATTCTTATTAGTTTTCCTGAAAATTAAACTTAAGTTTGACATTTTAAATCGGTGTTATCTTCTTAAAATGTGTCTTATTTATACACATAATCATTTCTTTAATTCCCTCCAAAATTCTTATTTGTAAGATGCCATACATTGCAAAAATAATAGATGCTTTTATAAATCATCATTAATGAAAAAAAAAAATCATATGTCATTTTCAGCAAACTAAGTTAGGAATCATTCAGAACTTATATCTCACAAAACTGGAAAGGCAATTCTTATTTGCTGACTTCAGAGACATTAATTTTTAAAATTATTTTTAGTGACTAAATTCCTTACTACTAGAAACTGAGGAATGAACAAATCTATACCTACAAATGCATTCTAATCCAATAAAAGCAATCTAAGTGCAATGTACATGTATTAAAATTACACGTTCTATGATAAATGGATGGGCATAAATTTATTCATAATGTATGCACGCCCCTTTTGCATTCATTGCAAGAGGGTGCATGAATTTAAAATGGAGCAAATCCGAAGAAGACTGCATTGTCTCATTTAAAGCAGTTGGGTTTGGGTGAATCCAATAAGAGGCAAAATTAATTTCCAGGGTGAATGGGCAAAAATAACATGAGTCAAAATAACCATGCATACAATATGATAAAACTGAACAAAATACAAAGTTAACACAAATGATGAACAAAGGTTCTGCAAAAAAGAACTTAGTTTTGTGTGTCTTTTGTTTTAGAAATAAGTGCCTTAAAATAGTACACTGGTAAAACAGATTAATTCAGGTAGCAGAAAGCTAAGTTGTGTGTGTCCTTATAATTTTTTTTTGGTGAAAGTTAATTTTTTGTTAACAATTTTTTTCTTTTTTTCAAATCAACACATTTGCTACATTGGTTATATCAAATGAATATTATGAGGGTTTTTTTCAAATAAATATAGACAAGTACATACTAAACTTTAAATCATTAATAATTTTATAGCAAATTTAATTTTTATTTTCTTCAACTTAATTTTTGTTAATCATTAACAAAGCAACAAAAAGCATGATTACAACACATGTACATGTATTTTTACATTATAGTCAAGACAAAAACAAAGCATGAATGAGCAGCGCAAAATTCTGGCCAGATCTATAAACGCAGCATTTTGTTTACCCCTTTTTCTGGTGATTTGGGTGGTTCTGGGGTAGTTTTGTCATCCTGCCAATTATAATATTATCTCTATAGACAAATTGTAGTTCTCCATCCCCAATAATTAAAACCTACCCCACCTGATTATTTAGATATAAACCTTACCAAACACTGTGCAGTGTCAAACTTTTAAACTCTCTGTACCAGTGATAACAAGTAACAGTATCATATCAAGTGTGATAGCTTATTGAATGTTGGTGTAATTCATGAAACAAAAAAAAGAATACATATGGTAATATTCATGATAGAAAAACTGCTCCTTGGCCTCTCCCATTAAAATTACCGAGATTCCGTAGGGCTTTTTCAGACCCAGACTATCTGGTGTGTTGACTCCCAGCCTGACAGAGTCTGATCTGTAGTGACTATGAGTTAAGTCACCAGAGCTCAATTTGACTTCCTATTAATCAGAGTTCACAAAAGTTAATAAAACTGTCACAGTTTTAAACAAATGGCATGGTCATCCCTTACAACACACAACACATTATAGAAATTCCACATTCTTTCTGCATTTTTCTTTATTGACTTTGAACTTAACAAAATGACCTTGCATCAAGTTCATGACACTTTTCCAGGATGTAAGAAATCTTTGTCATGAGTCAATTTTACATGAAGAACATCAAATGCTCAACTCTTTCAAACCCAGAATTTTGCATGTGATCTTGAACTTACTCCAAAATTCTAGGGTCAAGGTCACAGCAAATCTTGAGGTAACAGGCAGCTTTTCAATCCACAAGATATGGCCATGAGGACTAATGACCTTGAACATGTACTTGATTTTTACTGACCATGATCTAGGGTTGACATACCCTCTGATTAAAGGTAATCTTTTTGTGAATTATGAAAAAGTTTCTCCATTCCAAATTTAATTAGAGACAAAAATTATATTTTTGTCTTCTACTGAGTTTGAACTCCAGTGAAATGACTTTCACTTTAGGTCACTGCAAATTCTTGGGCCATGAGCAATATCTTATTTTAAAAAGTTGTTATAGTCCAGACATGATAGCACTGATAGACAGACTGACAAAGGTATAACCCCCCTTCTCAGCTTAAAAACTTCATTTGTCAAGAATATAAATCTAATCTGAAATTTCAACTGAAGTAAAACAAATTTTTATCTAGGAAAGTCAATTTGATTAGCAATTATCAGAAAGATGAATCGTGATGCACATGTATCTGAAATTCTTTTGCTTCAACTGCCATTTAACTTTAAAATTACATGTTACATATGAATCAATAAGCAAAAGTACTTGTATGTATATTATGCCAAGTTGAATTTAACTTAATTACCGAGTAGTCTTTCTGGCCAGCATTTCTCATGGCTGGGACAGGGGGAGACGACCCCCGCTGTTCCTGAAAAGTCAAATAAACATATCTAAATCTACGGTGTTAAAAGGAAAAACAAAATAATGTGCTTTCTATCCAAAGTTAGATGCCTAATACTAATAAGACACTAACGTGGAACTCTAAAAGCACTACACTGGTATAAAAACAAACATAAATATGCCTATACCTATAAACTTAATGCTAAGTATGTACAAATGTACAACAAATAAGACTGAAAATTACAACTTACATTATCAGTTGCCTATAATTCATGTAAAGGTAAATACATGTACTAAGTAAAAACTGAGAGAAATAAAAGTTGATATTTCAAGGGGAAAATACTGATAGAATAAATGTTTTTTCTTCTCTCTTTAAATTAAAAAAAAAAGCCATATATGTATTCTGTTTCTCTGGTTACCTGTCTTTCCCGCCTTTCCCGTTCTTCCTGTTCCCGTTTTTCCTTGGAACGCTTTTCATCCTCCTCCTGTTTTTTCCTCTTTGCCTCCCTCTTCTTTTCCTCAGCTTGTTGTTGCATCTCTTCATTTCTTCTTCTTGTCTGCACCAAATAAATTTTAAAACATCAATATTGAAATATTCATTACACAATTTTACAAAGCATTTATTTTGCATTATACAACTGTTGAGATTTTGTGTAGACTAAATTAACACAATAACATTCCTAATGTGATAATCATCTCATTAGCATATGACCTTGACCTACCTCTTCCTCTTTCTCCCTCTTTTTCCGCTGTTCTTCTTCGTATTCACTCTGTATTCGGAGTCTCTGTTCTTCAAGTCTTCGGTTTTCCTTTTCTTCTTCTATCCTCTCTTTCTCTTTTTCAATCTGTTCTCTCCTCTTTTTCTCTTCAATCTGATATATATAGATACAATGTAAGATCTCCAATAGTTTTTGACTGGATATGATTTTTATCCAAGAAGTTGTGTTTTTTTCACCAAGCCTTGGTGACTTGGATAAAATCACATCCTACCACAAACCATTAGAGATTCTTTTTGTCACACATTTTACACAACCCTATATCACTTGTTTTTCAGTATTTTTGTAGATAAAAAAAAACATGTACCTGTCTTCTGAGATCATCTTTGTATTTGTCTGATTGATTCTTTTCTTGTTCTGTCTAAAATACAAAAAATAAATAAATAAAATAAAATAAAATGGAGGAATGAAACCAATTTTATTGGAAGAGATAAATATGAGACTATTTTTTACTACAAACAAGATGATAAAGCCCCTCCCCTCCTCATGTTCCTAGGATCTCGATGATACAACACTGAGTCGGATTTAGATCAACACATGTATTAAGTTCCTTGGCATGAAGAACACAAACAATTGCATTCAATTGGATTGAAATGTTAAAATTTTTGGCCTGAACATAATTTGCAACATGAACAATGACAATCATAAGATAAAGTTTTTACATATATAGATTCCTACCAACAAACAGTTGACAATATTTAAGTGCCTAGTAAACAGATTCGTACCTTGGGCTGACCAAAGATTCCATGTCCCCCTCTAGCATGAGTGACATCTCCTGAAGCATCAAGCTGTGGGGGCGGGGGACCAATCAGGTCGTCTCTGGGGGAGGGGGACGGAGCTCTAAATCTGGGGGACTCCCGAGTCACACGTGACCGAGCCGTATCTGGGTCCTGATTGGTGGAATGCAGCACTCTCAAATCAGCTGAAAACAACACAAGGATATATTTATATATGAAAATTATCTTCTCTCTGGCTACAAAAAGTTTTTTTTCCCCAAAAATGTACATTCAAAGCAAAGCAAATCTTACCGACAATATTTCCCTGGTTATCTCTCATGGGTGCACCACCTCCGCCTTTACCAAATGGATTATAGTTTCTAATCTCATCATCCAATTTCTGCTCATATCTGTAGGAAGACATGAAAAATAACACTCTAATATGCCTTTGTTCACAATTGAACCAAATAGCTCAATATTTTTGTTAAATTAAAATGGGATGAAATAACTCTAAACCGAATCAAGCAAAGTTCCCCCTGCAGAACAATGTAGAAAAAGAAAATTTATAATTGAGAAGATGATTTTAACTTAACTGTTGTCCTTTCTAGATTTATAGATCAGAAGTTAATAAGAAAAAAAAAAGTCCTGCTCACATAATATTCCACTATCATAAAACCTTACTTGACCTTTGGCTTTGGTGGTCAACTAAAAAGAAATCTTACAATACTGAATTCTATTTTTACCTCAGCTGTTCTTCTCTTTCTCGCTGTTTTCTTAAACGTTTTTCTTCAATCTAAAAAAAAAAAATTGTTAACTAAAATATAATAACTTTTTTCCAGCTACACAGTTTATATACCGTTCTGTGATAGAAAATATAAGAAACATTTATTAAAGACTTCATAATACATTTGGAATTCCAATTTGTGAAGAATCATAAGGGAATATGGTTGGAAATATAAATACCAGTAAAATTTGTCCAGTGTGAACTTGCTGTGAGCCTGAGAGGCTAAGCTGACCTACCTGTCTGTCCAGTGTGATCTTGCTGTGAGCCTGAGAGGCTAAGCTGACCTACCTGTCTGTCTAGTATGATCTTGCTGGGAGCCTGAGAGGCTAACCTGACCTACCTGTCTGTCTAGTATGATCTTGCTGGGAGCCTGAGAGGCTAACCTGACCTACCTGTCTGTCCAGTTCTTCCTGATATGAGCGTTTATCATTCTGTGACCGACTGCGGATTTCTTCGTCACTTGGGAACTGGTACGGAGATATACGTTCTCTACTCCTGTCTCGTGCCCGGGCTCTAAAATTTAATAACGTGTCTTAGTTAACCTATATACATGTCCATTTCCCCAATTGTATGTAGAAATCTATACATAATTTTACATTTGTTATAATACATTATTTCTCCTCTTAATATAAGTCTAAAAAAAAATTTAAACTTACATAAACTTCAATGATATTTTTTACAGCTTTTTGTATAATAAGCACTCATAAATAATGTAATAGGTATATTAATTCACTTATTTTTCTACCAAGTTAATCAAAGCAGATATGGTAAATAAACACACAATTTATACTGCACACACTAATATATTAACTACTCTGATGCCCCCGAATCTTCAATTATTCTGGCTAAAATATCAACACCACTAAAACATCATTCTATTTCTTGTACACATATGCAGCTGACAAATAACTCATATCAAACGACACAATTGTACAAATGCCACATACAAACACACCAATTCATCATTATGCATATTAGCTGCCAAATTACTTAATATAAAAACTATACAATATACTAATAATGCCAAACCTAGCTGCAGAACTGTAGCTCTCTGTGAAAAAAAAATATCGACAGACCAGAGAGTTACAGTGTCACCCATTGAAAAAATGTGTAGCTCTCTGGTCACAAATACCATTTAGACCAGTGAGGTACAGATCTGCAGCTATGCCAACCCCAGACACATGAAGTCACCAACACATGTTCAGCTGACAAATCACTCATGTAATTATACATGTACTAATGCCACACCCAAACACGAAGTCACTGGTACGTACGAAGTTGTTGGTGGAGGTATGGTGATCTCTAACCTGTATAAGGCAGGAAATACTAGAAGGTAATGCTTGTGTACAGATTCACTGCTAACATTTTAAATATTGTATTCATTCTACAGTAAAACTTCTGTACTACATCATGTACATGCTGTATAACCAATGCAGTAGGTAAAGTTGACTTATCAATTAAATTACCTACACATTACTGGTAATCTGGGGTGTGGCAATGTTTTAACTCTTACAAGTTTAGGTCATCTTAGATTTGGTACCAAGCTAAAATATTTATGCTAGCATTCCTTACATACATGCAGTAGTTAAGCTACCTAGCATTCTATAATATTCAAGCTTGTAGCTCTACAAAGAGTTGACATAGCCACATAGATCTAGAACACACTCCTGGACATAGCATTAATTCCATGCGACAGAACATAGGCTATGAGTCCAAAGGTCTTATTCTGTCAACAATCATGAACTTGATCTGTATAACTATAGGAAAACTCTCACAAAATAAAAAAAATAAAAAAGGCAGAAACAAAAGGCCCCTGGACCTTGATGGTCACCTGAGCATCATGGGTCACCTTTAGTCTACCTGAACTGGTATGGACTTCTGAGAGAAATTATATCATTTGAATGGTGAAGATTATCATATCATTCTCTGCCTGAACACCTAGACTTAGATCATTGCACATTACACATACTTGTAGTTTCAGTTTAGGCAGATCTGCATGTAGAGAAATTCAAACAATGTATTGTTGAGTAGGTTAAGAGATTTCTATAATTTTCATAATACTGAAAAAGACAACAAGAATTTTTAAGTTATCACATACAAATGGTTATTTTGTTGACCATTTGTTGCCATAGAACCATGAGATTTAGAGGTGAAATGGTCTTTACCCACTGTACTGGTTTTGCCAACTATTGTTGAAGCAACAAATAACAATCTCCAAACAATTGAGATAACAAACAACATTTTGTAAGTAAATATATGTACATGTTACAACAATGCCATAAATATCTAGATACTGGCAAAATCACAGATAAGTCTAAACCATTAATAAATCTACTGAGTTAATAGCAAAATTTAGGACATGGGTGTTACTTGCATTTGAAGTTATTATAGCTTACACATCAAATTTTGTATTCTTACATCAAATTTTGCATTCTTTAATAAAACACAAAGTAACTGCATTCCTAACACTAATGTCAACACACCAGTGACCACACACCAAGTTTTTACTGTCTTAATTAACACTAAGTTATGGACTCAGCATTGTGGCAACACTATATCATTTTGTCAAAATATCTTGTATGTATGCTACATTCAATTTAATTATTTAACCCATTTACAATCAAGATTTTAATGTGGACAAGACTTTGGCTCAATATTGCAGATAAAATCAATTAGGATTAAGCCATTGAGGAGTACGTAAAAACTTTTACCGGATATAAAACATTTGAAACTGTCAACTGTACAATTGTCTGCAATGTTTTGGTCTGAACAAAAAAAAAATAAATAAAGCTTTAGTTATTTTGTTTAGCAATTAGCAAAACAGATAAACTAATACAGCAAAACTATATTGACAACTCAACAATATATCAGCAAAATTACTGAGAAATTAATAAGCAAAATAACATTAAGTTTTACATACGCAGGAGGTGGGACAGTTAACTCAATCCTGTAAAGCAGGAACAAAAAAATAAAACAGTATGTCACATCAGTCTATACTCTTATAGGGATATAAACACATTAATATCACTTTTTTTCAAAATCAGATAAATAAATACATGTACTTTTTAACCATTAAATTTCTTTTATTTGAAAAATACAAGTTTAGAAAACATATTATTTATAACAATAAATACATGTTAGTCAGCTTGTAAACACTTAAAACAAAAAATTCATACGAATCACAAGAATTAATAAAGAGACATACTGGTTACTATAATTATTATAAAACAAGAAATTGAGAAACCTATATGCCCTCATAAGGCCATCTACTAGTCAACGGCAAACATAATGCTAAGATGGATCTCCATCATACCGTCAACAGATCAGTGTATCAAACCTGATACATGTCTCTGTAAGCAAACTGAGCTGACAATACCTTTCTATGTCTAGTGTCCATGTTATTTGACCCTTGATCTTTGACCTTGTGACTGAACAAGGGTCATCTACTCCCTAGGGAAAAGTCAGCGTACCAAGTTTGATGCCTTTCAAGCAAAGGGAATTAAGATATCAAGCGGTCAATATATATTACTTTGTCCAATTAGACCCTTGACCTTGAACTTGTGATCTGAAAATTAAAAGGAGTCTACTACTACTCTAAAGGGAAACTAAGGTACCAAGTTTAATCTGTGTCAAGCAAAGTACTCTCAAAATGTTAAGCTGATATCTCTGTGTAGCATAGTTTGACCTTGATCTTTGAAAACGTGACTTCAAAATTTATAGGGGTCAACTACTTCTTAAAGAAAAGCAATGTACCAAGTCTGATATGATTCAACCAAAGGGTAATCAAGGGGAACCAATATACCAAGTTTGGTGCGTCTCAAGGACAGCGTTCTCAAACTAATAGGTCAATATCTTATAATGTTCAGTTTGACCCTTATCCTTTGATCTTGTGACATCCAACTCAATAGTTATCTACTCCTTTAGGGAATCAGTGTATAAATTTGATGTGTGTAAAGCAAAGAGTTCTCATTGACGAGATACTGAAAAGTCTGTGTCATTCTACGTTCAGTTTGATTTTTGACCTTTCATCTTGTGACCTTGACTTTGGTGACCTAAAACATAATTATGGAATCTTCTCCTTAAGGGGAAACCAATTTACCATTTTTTATATCTTTCAAGAAAATGGTGCTATAGATACATGTATTAAACAGGCAAGATTTTTTTCTATAATTAAAACTTATTAATTACATAAATATATTGGGTTCATCTTCTCTTCTACGGACAGTGTGCCAAGTTTGATGTCTGGCAAGAAAAGGGTTCTTAAAATATTGAGCGGACAAAACTGGGTCTACCATCCCACTAAAGGTCAAGAGTGGCATAATTATTCAGACATCAAGTATTAAATTCAATTAAATAAACAACTAATAAACTGCATATAAAATTCAAAATATGAACAGGTTGAAACCACAGTGCTTAGTTAGGTTAGTTAAACAAATTAAAAGTCCCATTCTCTTTGACTATTACAATTTTTACAGATTTTCTTTTTTTTTCATTTAGATTTTAATGACCAGTTGTTATTTTTAAATTAAATTCCTGCTAGTAAATCTAAAAGAAATTCTCAACTTTTCCACAAGACTTCAAACTTTCAAATCAAGCATATGTTAGAGCTCCCACATTCTTACGTTTGTACAATCTCATCTTTTTGTTCTCGAGTTTGTACTTTCTCATCTTTTTTCCCATATTTTTGTGCATTGCCATCTTTATAACTCTCAAAAGAGCTAAAGGACAAATGATGAAAGTTAAACAAAGTTCAAATCTGGCATTGAATCTTTGGTGTTACTGCAAGACTGAATTAAAACTTATATACAAGGACAGCTAGGTGAAATAACAGGTCTGTGACAAGTAATGGTTTATTGAGTAATTTTTTTATTGCCAAATCATTCATTTGATATATCCTCTAAAAAATATACTGATGTATATGATGTCAGAAGGCATATTAAGTTAGCCAACTATTATCTTGGTTAACTTTGAATTCCAAACTTTGAAAGAAAAAAACAATTTTTTTTTTATTGTCTTCACATTGAATGAAAAAAATTGCTTTGCCTGTTAAGAAATCCATTTCATTTTTATGAATTTGCTACTGTTTTGATTACCAAAAAAATAATCTTGATACCAGTACTTACGATTCGTCAAAGGTGACCCTGGGAGACCGCTTGCCCTGGTAAGGTCGATCAAAGCCTCCTCCTAGGTCCAGTGGTGGGGGCTGGCCTACAATCAATATATATATATATATAGTCATTACATGTGGTGACAAGTAAGAAGTCTGTTGATACATTGAAGGCCAAAGCTGATCTCTCACTACATCAAAGAGATTTCTGTTGTTGTGAGAGCAAAAAATTAAAGGAAAAACATGGTGTGTGGTAAATGATTCAAAGAACAGAATAAATTTTTATTCCCATGAATTTTGGTGCACTGCAATGAACCTATGAATGGGGTAAACATGAAACAATGTGTGTACAGCCAGTGAATAACACATGTAAACTGTTCATACAGTGGAATCATCAATGTTTTCGGGGGCCATTGTCCATCAATTACAATAATCCACAGATTTACATGCTCACAGTTGTTTTGTCTGCATATTTATTCAATACATGGAATCTTCTGCGTATATAAATTACATCCCAATGAACCATGAAAACTTTCCTTACCCATGAAAATTGAACCCAGCAAATCAAAATGATTCCACATTTATCAATTTTAAAAACATCAATAAGTGTAATGCAGCATAGACTTATCCAGGTTACCCTGTGTAAAGTAAAAACAATCATGAAGGCTTGAAATTCTGAATACTAGGAGGTTACTGTTTGGAAAGATGAGTAAGGCACCTTGAACCTTAACCTTCTGGTTAAATTGGAAAGTAAATCAACATCCAATGAAAATTTTGAGTGTTTCTATAAATATGAAATTACAAGATTATATTAATTTCCTCTTGTATATAGAAAGGACACAGTTTGGGCAAAACCATGATTTATTCAGCATTGTTACAAAGTAAACATAAAAGTATTATTCGAGTAATCATGGGTAATTTTCAGCATTGTGAGAAATTACAAATCATGGTAGAATCTAAACTAATACTACTAAACTAGACATCATAATAGATATCACGCACACACCCAACACATACACACACTCGCACACATACAACAAAAAAAAAAAAAAAAAAAAAAAAAAAATTTTTTACTAAGTTTGAATTATGAAATAAAGTGACGTGGGTTCTGCCTCGGAGGAATTTCTAAGAAAGTGAGGTTAACTGGCCAAAACATGGGTTGAAATAGATGATTAAAGCAATTTGATTGGATGGCACAGTGGACGAATTTAAAAGCAAGAAAGTAAGCAATCTGATTGGATAATGGTGACGTAAATAGGTGGCGCTAGTTTGCCTCCGATAGGGGTCGCTTTACAAGAATAGAAAACCCCTTAATTTGATTGGTTAACAAATAGAATCGCCCTCCGGGCAGAACCCATCTTTTAATTAGCAAATAGATTCTTCCAGTGGAAGATTCCATTAAGGTAAAAAGTAAACAAACAAAAGGCAAGCGATTATATTATTGTATTATGGGTCAACAATGCATTAATTAGAAGTAGCACATTGTGCACTTATTTTATAGTAACCTGAGCCTTTAAAACACATAGTTATTTAAATTTATTAATAGATTAATTTATAAGCTGCCCAATCAAGATATGATTAGAATATTTCTGAATTCGTTGAGAAAATGCTTTTATCATTATCATTGTCTAACTGCATTAAAAACAATTTCAAATCATAGAAGAGGAAACTGCTCTTAAGGGTACTTCTGAACCTACACACTGTGTCTATTTATGTCTTCTTTTAAGTGTGAATTAAATAAAACAATAAAACACATCAATTTTAAATTAAGTAATAAATGTTAAAACACATACACATAGATTTCAGTCATGCAGAAAAAAAGCAATTGTATGGATTAATTTTAACCAAACCAACAGGCTATCTAAAATTGTTCACCAATACCTACACCATGAGACAGGAAGGGAGAAATTCTAACTCAAACTCTGTAAATCAAGATGGATGTTCTACCAACCCTGACTCTTCCCAGGCAGGTCTTTATTGCGTCTAGAGCAGGACACAGCCTTTAAGGTTTATAGAGAAGGAGGGGACAAGCAGTAGCAGCAGCAGCAATCTGACCAATAGAGCCCCTCGAGAATCCTCCATCACATTGTATTCTGTTTAATATACATGTATGAAGGACTCCCAAAATGGAACTCCAAAGTTTGATGGTCATGCCATAATTGGATGCTCTCAGCCAAACTCAGATTGTCATGCCAAAGTCTGCAGATTCAAATGCAGTTAAAGTCTGTTGGTGTGAAATGATAAAGATTCATACACCATTGTAGCAAACCATTGTGTGATATGTGATAAAATTGTAGACTGCATGGAGATTGTTCATCTTTTTGAGTTACATTAACCCAGCTTTCTTCTCAGGTGCATGTGAGACTAACCCTCATTATAGGCCAATGATGTGCAAGGTCTACATGTAATACTAATTTGTCAACCCTTACCTTAATCTTGCAACAAGATGCAAGATTGATCCTTAATTATCATTTAAATGTTGTGCTCTATTTAACCTTGTCACCTCCTTGGTGGGTGTATGAGTAACCCTAATTAGTCAAAAAGAGTGCAAGAACTAACCTTAATCACTAGTTAAAATTGGTCAAATAGTGTGCAAGAACTAATCTTAATCTATCCAGACTAAAACAAATTAGTCAAAGAATCTGAGATCACTAACCATTTGTTGAATTTTGAAAGCCACAGAACAAATTCAGAATGGATGTCAGAATACTGTGACATCAGGAGTCTGCTAAATTTTATGATTTAGGCCTTATGATTGCAATAGCAGAGTTTGTGTCAGCAACTTGTTCAATTTTGTTAGAATACTAAACTTTGTAAGCTAGGTTCTCCTTTACAGCCTGCATTAGGAGGTATAGATAACTGGTCTATATTCCCTAACCACATACTCCCGACTATCACAGTTTTGTTTTTGTTTACCTATTATTTCTATGGGTGAGACCTGTCAGCCAGATTGGTGTTTTAAGAGGGAGAAAAGATTCAGTAATACGGTCAGATTTGTTCACTAAGGACTGATATAGCTCAATGGGTCAGTAGAGCATCGATCTTTCTAGAATTTATGGGGCCTGGGTTCAAATCAAGGTGTAGTCTGCTAAGTTTTCTCCCCTCCTGTTAAATATTTTATGTGAGCTAGTGTATGTAAATTTTATTACATGTAGTAGATTTAGCCATGCATTAACCAATTTTCCAACATCAATGTCATATAGTTTTCAGTAGGCTCGAATTTAGCAAGAGTTTTTTTTCCCATTGTTTGCGATATTGGAGGTCTAAAGGCCCATTATTCAGCCAAATTAAAATGTTTATACTGGCCATTCTGGGGAAGGAGGCATTTTCTGAAAAATGTAAATTTTTTGAAGTCTCGTTAATTTTATTATTTTTATTTCCTAAAGATTTTCCCCCAAATATTTGTGCTACGCCCTCTTGAATTTGGTAAGACAAAGAGGAAAATTCACCAGGTTGGCTTCCAATTTGGTGGCCAAGGAAAATAACTGTTGATAAATTCATGAGGCCTATTGAAAACTATCTATAGTGGTAAATAATCATGCAAAAGGAACATAATCATGTAAAGGATATCTAATCATGCAAATGGAACATTAATCCCTTTACTTATTTTAATAAGTCTCAAAGCTACTTCTTTAACTTCTACAAGGTATTTTTTATTTTAACGATGGAATCTTGTTTATTTGTCAGTAAAACTAGAGGATAATTTAATATTTAGTTTATATACTTTAAATTTATTGAAGATATAAAGGCAACTAAGTGTCTTAAACAAAGATTTCAAGATTCTCTGGTTAGAAAAATGGTTACAAATCCATGGACTTACAAATGAATGACTGGAATTCACAATCAATCCAGAAAAATCACTCATGTCATGAACCGAGTATATGAGGAATTAAAAATATGAAATGCACATTTATTTTTAAAATTTTATTTTTATTTATGAAAAGACTCCACTTCTAAAGACCAATATCAAGTCACTAAACATATACTGGGGTTGGAGCTGGGATAGATTAATGTAAAAAAAAATTCCAGGTGACACAAATCAACAACACAAATACACTATTATCTACAACATCCTGTGGTGTATGTATTACCATATGGATCTCTCTTCCCTGAGAAAAAACAATTCATGGTAAATGGGTGTCTCAGGCAGATTTCAATTATCAGTAATAATAATGAGGAAAGATCCTTATTTGATAGTAGATTATTCATTAACATGAAAGAAATGAGCATGCTGTTGATGAGTTTAATTTCTATGCTCCATCCCTTATCTATGAGAAGAACAAAGCTGGGATGTTTGTAATGTTGATCTGCTTTGTTTGCACGTGCACACTTACTGTTGTTGTCCGGCTCCAGTGGATTTTTCATGCCGTAGTAATGGTAGGCCTCGTCAATGGAGCTGTAGGGCTGATTCAGGCCCCCTGTACCCCCTCCTGTCACGTAGGTCCTAAAGTCAAACACAGACTCAGTTAAATCAATGTCATAGAGTACAAGGTAAAAATCAGTTCTTTCTTTAATTCATGCAAATAAATTACAAATTATTTTATTGAATAAAAATTTTCAATTTTTTTTCTTGCGAAAAGAGCCAATAATAAAATCCAACAGCAATTTATTTTTTCATTTCAAAAAAGAGCAAATGAAATTAAATAAAAAATATATTTCTCCCAATAAGCGACTTCACGGCTGTGATTCATGTCTTACAATTGATGAGTTTATTATGAACATCTGTATAGATATAGCAGTTTTTGTTGTCTGTTTTAGACACCAGTTGTTAGGTTTTTTTAAATGAGCGTACATGGCAAACAGAAAAAATTCTTCCTAAGGCATAATAATTCAAACACAGCTTTACACTTCTTTTGTTTCTCAAAATTAACAAAATGTAGATTTATAATTAAGTTTTGTTAAGTTGAGTTATCATGATACTTGTTTTTAATAAGGGTCATCACAGTTGGGGATGTTAGCATTTGTAGTTTCAGAAGTTACATTTATAAAGTGTTATGTTTTTATGTTATTATGTACTATACGATTTACCAAAAATAAATCCTTCATACTTTTAAGTACACTTGTCTAGTGTATCTTTCAAACTTGTGATGAAAAAAAACCCAGTAACGAGTAACTTTAAGATTCTCCATTATTTATCCCTAACATGTATATTATATATAGAACATGCCTCTGCACTTATTAAGACAAATATTTTCCAAAAGGGAATATGAAGTGTAAACTGTTGTTAATAGAATGACAACAATTGAACAACAGCAGACAATATTATTGTTGAATCTTTAATTTTATTGAACAGTTGATTTCACAACAAAAGTCATTCCCACCATGCCACTCTCTTATGTATGGATGCAGTTATTGTACATACTTAAAACGAGAGGACAGCATTTTAGTCGTCGTGTAAGTGAGTTCCATTGGAATGGAACAAGATTAGGAAAGGACAGATGTACAAAAGACATAAAAAAGAGGATGAATTTGTTTGTATATGACAGTTCTCAATTTCTTGAAGTTTTTGTTTTATCACTAGACTAAACCACGACTAAGTCACGTTATCACAGATGTTAGAATTTCCAAAACACTCTTGAGCCTTCATCAACAACAAGCCAAGACCAAAGTATACTACTTTAAGCCTGAAGCACTTAATCCCATATTTTTTCATAGTTCCTGAAAAATACCGTGAAGTCCAACTATACATTGAAGTCCAACATCAGATTTAATTCAAACAAATCAATCTTAAATTATTTTTTGCTCACAAAAAAAATTATGTCTCAAATAGTTCAAATGGTATCAAATAGATCAATCGCACATGTACGAGCACTTTTGCACTAACGTTAACCTTTGGTACATAACAAGAAATGTTGTGTACTGGTCTCCACAGGACTAGTGGTATCATAAAAGGTTTTGTTAACAACACCGCATGCTAAAGTTAAATCATTTTCGTGCATGGGACTCGAGAGTCTATGCAGCCTGTATTTAGTGTGGATTGCAATCATGCAATATGTGATGTTGAGTTATTCAAACAAATACATATAGCTTCAAACCTTGTAGGCTCGATGTTTGGATCTGCAAATCTAAGGGGAAAAAACACTGATCTGATCATTTCAAACAAAATAAATCCCTTACTTTTACTTTTATGGTAACATATGTACACATTGTAATTCCCTGATAGTTAAATCTACCTATCACAGTCAATACATGGAACATAATAAATTAGCTTGATCAAGAATTAGAGGATAGGATTGCAAGATCACCATAAGCCATTAAATACTTCAGCAGGGAAGATAAAAGATTTGTCTTTGGAGTTACAGAATAATCTACTCAATTTATACCTGTCTATATTGGAATAATCTAAAAATCTAAAATAAAGAAAAGTTACTGTTTTTAAAGAAAGTCTTAATTAAGAATACATATTTTATTTTTGACAAGAAATTGCATTTTACACTGAAAAAAAAAATACAATATTGGTGCATTAACATTTATGACCTCCTCTTTCATCGAAAGAAATTTCCATCTGAAGAAAGATTGCTCTAACTGTGACATTACTAAAGATGGCTGATACTGTGTTCATTGCTGACCCCTGACATTGTATACTTACGATGGCTGATACTGTAGTCCAGGGGGAAGCTGTGATGCTCCCCCTCTTCTCGGCTGATCCAACAATCCGTCAAATCCAACATCCAGGATTGTGTCTCGTGACCGTCTTTCTCGTGGGCGCCCACGTTCTCGTGGGGTATAGCCTCCACTACTCTCTGGCTCATAGCCTTGACCTCTGGGACTACAGTGTAAATTAATTTAAATTATATTTAACCATACTAATTTACCTTTTCAAAAGCAAACTTAATGATTTTTTTCCCCATTTCATTTTTGCCCCTTTTGCCCTGGTTGCACATGTCAAATTTAAATCAGGACAAAAATTCAAGTATGACAGCATTATCTCTTAAACTCAACTGATTCTGGGCTAATTTAAAATGGGGCAAAATTGTTTGCAAGTGTGAAATGGCTAAATTTACATAGGGCAAAAAATAATTCTGCTTACAGTATACAAAATTTAAAATCTGAAGAATTTATCTAACCTACAAGTTTAAATACATGCATAAGTAACCAAAGGCCAATTATGAGTAACCCAAGGTCAAATATAACTCACCTAAGGTCAAATCTTGTGTGGTATGGTTTGACCTCTGGGCTTCGTATGTTCCGCCGGGGTGAGGGGTTAGGGTCACCTAAGTGCCGAAGTCTCCTGGAAGTTTTCTCTGGATCTAGCAGACCTGACGCATTCACTCGTAGTTCCTCGACTTTCTCCCTAAAACATCAAACACATAATGACAAATGTTATCTACACAACTTAAGGCTGCCTCATTTTTCCTGTATTTACTGATGTAAGTTTAACAACTTTTTGCATTGCAGTGAACAATGAAGTCCACAACCATTTTAACTGCTTATTAACTAAAAGCTGATTAAAATACAGAAGTTTGATTTTATGAAATGATTACAACTAGTACATAAATATTTAGGTGATAAGACATATTTTTTTATCAAATAGAAAGGTTTTTTGAAATCTATTTTTGCCAAAAAATTGAATTAGAAGTGATAATGATTCTAGATTAAAATTACCTGAATCCAAAATTGAAAAAAGTACCCTATTTTGATTTCATGGTATTTAGCAGATTCTGCTTTATCCTGAATACACAAGTCTAGCATTTATAAGTTCACTAGCATATTTTTAAGTCATAAGTATCATTTTCTGATGATACATGAGCAAAATCTATAGAGAAGAAAGGCAACATTTGAAATGTTTATGGAAACAGATTTATGAATACAATAAAATGAAAGTCTTCTGCACTCTGATAATACATATGGAAGCCCATTTAGGACTGTTAAAAAATATTTGTGAATTTGTTATAACAAATTTTTGAATTTGTTATAATGAAATAGATTTGGGTAGGGCAAATATGTATTTCAATTACATCCACAAAGCAGGGTAACCCTTACAACCACCACAAATATGTCCATAGCTATAGGACATGGGTGTCCTGTCACAGTACATTTGTATTGCAACAGTTAAACAGGATATAAACATTATGGATATAGCAAACTAAATTTCCAAGTCCCCAGACCTTCACTATAACCAAGTTTCACTGTATCACCAATTTTTATAGTTTGACGTAAAAATTATGAATAGTATCTTGTTAAAAGTGCTAATAGGAAAACAATCAATAGAGAGTCAAGGTCTTATGAAAGGTCAAAATTATTTTGAAAGCGTTCTAATTTTATTAGTATTGTTTTCAAATATCTTAAAGAGTTTTTTTGAAACTATTACTTTTGATAAATGCATAATGAGGAACATATGGTCATGCTCATGGGAAAAGTCAAGGTAAGAAAATAATGATACCGTTAAATTGCTCTCGTGAATACGTATTCATTAAATGAAGTTTGACTAGAAAAATCTTTAAAGGTAAAGAACAAGGTCATAGAAAGGCAAAAGTCAGCGAAGGTCATGCAAGAACAAAAAAAAATTATGATGCAGATGAATATAGCTATCACCAATCTGTAATAGCATGAAGTTTAATGGAGAAAAAAAATCAAAATAGTTTCTTATAAACTGTGCTAAATGCAAAAAATTAATAATGAGAAAAGGTCATATAAAAAGTCAAGTCCATTTTTTTTTTTGTGACAAAGTTGAAAAGCTTTATTTTTTGTTACTTAAAATACAGTCAATTTCCATTATCTTGAACATGATGGGACTGAAAAAAAGCTTCGAGATATCCAAGGATTTGAGATATCAAAGGTAAAATATCTAAAGAATATGTTGTTGGGACTTCCAGATCACTTCAACATATCCATGGAGTTTGGGATACCAAAGTTTAACTGTATCAGTATCAATTTAAACTGATATGATTTTTGATCGAGTTATGGCTTAATTTTTAAAATTTTTAAGGGGAACCAGATTTCCCAATTTGTTTTTGTTTTTTTTTTACACCTTTTTTCCTAAACGCTTGAAGATATATTGGAGCTGCATGATTTTGACATGTAAGTGTACCTAACCTTGTACCTTAAAGTTTATAACAAGTTTGCACTTAGTTACTCTTCAATAAATTTTTTATAAATTATGGCCTTTTTAATTTTTGAGGGGAACCAGATTACCCTGCAGATAGGGGACTATAGTATAACTCATGCAATTATACTCTCAGAATGCTACAGTTGACGAACTTGTACTGGTAGTAGGTGAAGTTAGTTGATGGACTTGACCATCCCTTGAAAAGCCTCTCTGGTAGTAAGCCAATCTAGCAAATGTACATTTTTGGTCAGGTGCCTTTTGACTTTGTCAAACTTTTCCTGATAACGAACTTTATGATTTTACAGACCATTTTATAGGTACATGCATGTATGAAATTGATAATTCAATTCACTTTAAATATAACATGTACATATAAATGAATCCAAAACACTGCTGGTATATTGATGCACAAATATATATGTCACATGCACATACAATTCAAAAACAAAACATGCTCACACTTAAATTCATCTCCGTAACATTTTATTGTGAAGCAACAATAAAAAAATGCTGGTGGTTTTACTGCAAATGCAACTAGAAAACTAAGATTTTTACACAGGATCCAATAAAATAAACTTGACCTTCTGACCTTGAGGAATTTATAGGCATCATTGGCAATTTGGCAGTGAATATTGACCAGGACCCCACCGATGGACAAATGTGTTTAGGCATTCATAACTGTTGTTCAAATCTAAATTCATGTCATCATAAATGTAGTTTAGAAACCCATACATTTCAAAGGTAAAATTATTGCTAACACAAAGGAGCTTCTGGAGGTCACAATCAGGGTTTTGTCAGCTGGACCCACTAGGGGCTTAAGGTGGTCCCCATGACTTAAACACTTCACACTTGAGCTTGCTATGTGACTGGCAAGCTGTAGATTGATAGGTAATCAAGCTACTGCATGAAAGATAGACACAGAGATGGACAGTGCTACAGTACACCTGAATTTTGGTGAACATTGAACCTTAATCAAGATTTCATCAAGTAACAACATCTAAGACAACACATTCAGCCCATGACCAGTTTCCAGCTTTAAATTCATGATCTTTATTGCTTTTAAAATTTTATATTGAAACATTTGTTACATTTGATAATTTCATAATTCTAAAGAAATAATCCTGCATCAGTATTCACAAAATCATAAGATTCTACATATAGTAAGAATTTTGAAATATTCATGCAGCCACAAAAAGAGAAAGCATATACATATGTATATTTTTAAAGTTCTAGATATTTTTCTTTTCTTTTTGAGATGTTTGAATAGCAGGACAAGAATTAGTCGGTTTACTTGTATATATAAGTTCAGAAAATTTATGGATGTTATGAAAAAAAAAGAAAACAATAACATAAACTTTAGAGCAACAAAATTATAAGTTAACATTAGAGATGTTATGAAATTAATTCTTTAACATTGATTTTCTTTTTGTCTACAGAGAACTGACAAGTTTCATATTACCTACACAGTTATACCCAGACCAGAATTAGAAATGTGAGACATTGAACTAAATTCCTACCTCTCTTTCTCCCTGTTAAGGCAAAGGTTAAGAAACGCAAACAGAATTAACAGATCCATCATAAATGTGAAAATAGGTTAATTATGCAGTCAAAGTCCAAATTTAAATTGTAATGGTGACAAAACAACATATTCAGAAGGAATTGTACAATGTACCAATAAGCATATAACAAATGATGATGAATTTCTTTCTGGTTAATCAATTTAAAATTAAGTAATGATGGAAAAGAAATCTAATGAAATCTGATGTGAGACAAAGGGCAAGGAAGTGACCATCTCATTCTAATAATGTATCATAACCCATCTAATTCTTCTAAACAGAGTCAGTTGGAGGTATGCTTCAGATGGGTAAAATGAGGAATGACAGCAATGTCTTTTAAGGTTATGACTGCAGGACAATTTTTACGAAAGTATATGACTGATGGTAAACTTAGCTGGACTTAATGCCCTGTGCTACTGACCTTCTGCGAGCCGCCTTAGCCTCTCTCATCTGTAGCTGTAGCTCCTCCCTATAGCGAGCTTTTTTACGAGCATTAGCACTATCTCTCTCATTGGCACCTACAATTCAGGATAAACATAACTGAACAACTAAACATAAGAATTATACTTGTATCTCTATGACTATGTTGGTGTATAACATGTATAAGGAGCAAAGGTGCTACAAGCAATGACAGATTGAAAATTTGTGTACTACTGATCCAGAACTTTCTCTGATTTTCTGATTATGATATAAAATGAACATCACAACTTAAAATCTTCTCACTTCCATTACTATGTGGGATCCAGATTTACAGGAAAATGTTCTACCCTGTTTTATTTCCCCCTCTTTTGCCCTATTTGCTGTGTGAATTTAAAATTGGGCAATTATTTATAGAACGCAACATTACTGTGACTGAAGCAGTTTGCTTGCAAATGTACAATGGGCAAAAGTAACATAAGGCAAAAATAAGCCTGAATACAGTATCCTCTCAAATATCTTGATTTACATTTTATAAGCTCCTGAAAAGGATGCAAGAATTGCAGTGCATGGACATGATTACATAACAATAATAAAGGATGTGTGGCTAAATAATGTAAATATAATGTTGCATTAAGTAAAAATTAAATGAAAACGAATACATGTAAAATTGTAGAAGTAGGAAAAATAATAATAGCGGTACAAGAAGAAAATTCTTGAAAATGGAGAAGCAATTAATTAAAATAAAGGATTCAAATGATAACATGTTTGAAAAAAAGGAATTTCAGTCTTATACATTCATACTGTGTCAAAATGTATGTACTGTTTGGTTCAAGTACCTCCCACTTGAGATCTATAGCATTTACAATGTCTATATATATATCAGATAAATATATACAGTGAGACCTGGCTAATCCAGTATGCACTGGGAGACAAATCTGGCATTGGAATAGAGAGGATGTCCAATTACAAAGTGTAGAGATCATGGGAAATCGTAAATTGGGAATGAACAGAATTCAGACTGTCAGTGAAACACATTACAAAGGTGTTGGGCTAGTCAGGTTTCACTGTATTGAGATTTATTGAACTGAATTCTGTGTATTTGTATCCAATGTCTCCTTTATAGTATTGGAAAACATACTTATGGTGATGAAGTGCTGGGGACAGACAATTTTGATTCACTGGAAACATATAATTAATAATTTCAGTTATTTTCATTTTAAAATTACAAGCCAGAATGAAAACCATTTCATCATAAGCATAATAAGTGTTTTTCACTATAATTGAATTTTATTGTGGCTACATTTTCAATAAATTTAAAATCTTTGAAAGTTTTGATTAAAAGAAAGATAAGAAAGTATGCATTTGGAGGAATATGAGAAAAAGCAAAAAGCAAAAGTTTCATGAAAATAGCTAGCAGAAATGAATACAGATGTTATAGGGCATTCAAAAAGGGAAATGGATAACTAGAAGGTCTCAAACCCGTAATTCTAAAAAACTTAAAACCTAACAAGAAGAAAAAAGTACGCTTTCTTAATTTTTTAAAAATTAATTTTCAATTAAATCTGGTTCAGCAAGATGTTCTCTTTCAAAGTCTTATAGACATCAATAAAAGGACACTAACAAAACCAGTTTTAAACCCTCTATAATTTCATATAAACCTGGAAATCTTGAAAACTAGATTCATTCAACTAATTAATTATTTTCATGTCTCAATGTAATAGGTAATGTTTTTATGAGAAATTAAAAATCAACAATAAAGCCTTCTAGGTTTTTTACCATATGCTCTTATCAATATAACTTTTGTCATTTTAGATTTTACATGATGTTATAGAGTGGCTCACGAAATCTTTTTTGCAAAAGCAGCAGAGCCTTTTATTTTCAAAATTTATTTTCTAAGAAAAATATCTGCACATATACTTTAAAATTATTTTGTCTCAACTAAATTCTAAGATAGAAATTTTAAACTTATCTTGTATAAGATAATAACAATAACAGGATATGTGCCATGCCACACTGTGTCTGGGTTAGTGTTGATTTACCTGATTTTACACCTGTCAACAAATTGTAAAACAATAAACATCCTAAATCCCTGAAATATATTAAACAAACACATACACACACACACAGCAACATATTACATCATTTTACAAATTGTAAGTTGTATTTTTACACACATCAATACTCTTATCTCCAAAAAAAAGTATGCCTAAAGGACACGAATCCCCTAGCTGCCCAAGGTATAGAAACTGTACAAAGTACATTCTTCTTTGGTCTGAGATTAATTCATCACCTCTATAGTATTTGATCAAAATGTAATATAGGTGTACAATGGCAATATGCAAAAAAATTAAGATTCTATTAAATTTGATTCCATAAAAGTTGCAGAAAAGAGATGGGTACCCTGTATTATAGAAGGAAGCTTAAGGAAGTATAGTTGTAAGGGTGAACACACCCATTACTATACATACCTTAACTTTTCAGGTTTACTATACATACCCAAACTTTTCAAGAAGTGGAATAGAAAGTCAGCATAAATTATCAGAAGTTTTGAAAAGTTAGATGAAAATCTTGATGTTTTTAAAGAATTTTTTTAATTACCAAAATTATAGTTTGGGCTGGTATTTCATTAAATTTAGATTGAGAAGTGAAAATATGGGCATTATCAGGCACATGAAACAAATAAAAGGTCCTGCAATTTTTCTGATATCTTTATATAACTCAACATAAAATATATGCTCAAACCTACATTGTGTATGTTCTTATAGAAAGGTTGTAAAAATAGTAAAACAACTGATGGAAAACGTTAACAAGAATGGAATGTATGAACAGAAAAAAAAGAAATTAAAAAAACTGCACAGTCTAGTACGTAATTGAAAGTTTCAATCAAAATTTCAAGACAATTTAAGGCAGCTGAGCCAAAACACTTAAGTTAGAAAAACTCTGTAAATGTGTTTGTGTGTGATCAGAAATGAATTGGGATCAGTTTAGACACTCACCTACGGGCAGCGTGGCAAAATAGTTAGCCCTGGCCATGTCTTCTTTGTCTGATGGACCAGATCTGTTAGAAATAGCACCAGGACGCTGACGTGGGGGCTCCGGCTCCTAGTGGAAAAATCCACAAAACATGGCTAGAATTAATCCTTAACAGATACTTCTCCTAGTAAAATAACACTATAACTCCACTCTCTCTAAGTAAAATAACACTATAACTCCACAGGATAAATCCAAATCAATTCCTATATAGGCCACTAGTGGATTTACAAAACATTGGTTAATATATTCCTTCCAACTGATAAGAACTCGTGAAATGAACTGCCCGAGTGATTCTGTAGATTTGGAAGGAACTTTAATACACAGTATTTTATGGGTTGTATACAGCTTCAGAAAGCCTTAAAAACCAATGTTGGTATATATTTACTTGTCCTGTGTATGTAACCAATAATATTCTGTTGGCACTCGATCCACAGTTATTTCCCAATCAAGCATGACCATACTTGAAATTTAGAGCAGATTAAATAATTATTTAATGTAATTAAATGCCTACAGTCAATCAAATTGAGAACATTTAATGATTTTAAATTCATAAATTATGTATAACGAAATTTTTAAAAGTTTGTTTAAAAACAATATTTTAATTTGATAGCTTAAACAAAATATGGCTAAAATAATTGATTTTACTTCTTTCTTTTTTTTTTTTTTTTGGTAAAATATCAGAATTATTTTAAAAAAAAACTCCATAAACTATCAATAAATAATTAATTGTGCATTTTATAAAAGGGAAATCATTTCTTTTCATTCAAAGACAGGTAAGAGAAGTGCCTTTGATTAAAGGAACGGTCTCCAAAACACGGGCCTAGCAACAAGCAAACACTGCTAGACTCAGGAACTGAAAGGGAAGAACACAATTACCTAATATTTAAAGAGCATGTCCCATTAAAGGAACCTACAGAGATAAAATAATTTAAAGGGAAATGTTAAGGGTGTAGAATATCAATCATTCTGCTGTAGTGACAGGCCTCTTAATTCTTATTAAAAATAAACCAATTACAGATCTCCTTAATCCATATTATATGCCATAAATTCATCTCAACTGAACAACAATAATTAGACAAGCAATATAGAACATGAGAATACACAATTATTTAAAATTGTTGAATTCCCTTGCATATATAGTGATACAATTAAAATTTGATCAGTTTTAAATATGATATAAATTTTCTGATGACTTAATGTATTTTAAACATAATTTAATTATTTCAATTTGAAATAATAAAATAGAATAAAATTGAATGGATTTTTTCTGGATAAGTTTAAGTAAAACAATTAAAGCAAACTAGTAAAATCAAAGTCAAATGAGTTATATACCAAACTTTATTACATGTATCCCCTTACAATGGAGTTGGATGGAATATAATAAAGCAATCATGTGTTGTGTGTTTGTTTGTGGGTGAGTTAGTCCTGTGCAAAATGGTAGGAACATACTTTGCATCAGGATTGATGTATAAGCTAGTGCATTATTGTTGATTTTGAAATGTAAACATATTATTAAAATATTTAAAGCATTGAAATGTTATTATAAGGATTTTTTTCTTTTTTAAAGTAAATCACACAGGTGTTGTTGCAAATACAAATTTTTTTATTATTATTTTTTTTTTTTACATTTTTTTTTTCTGAAAAAAAAAATTAAATAAGAAATATACCTAAACATTTCCCTTTAAATTTTATATGCTGAAAATTGCTTTGAAAAAAAATCCATAAGTAAATATCATTTATAAGCAAATCAAGACTATTCAGATCAAACAGGAAGTGTCATTTTCACACACTAGAGCAATAAGGAGAACTGAGGCTAAGAAAGGCCTAGTTCTTGCTGCCTAGTCGTAATTCAAATCAAACTTATATAAGTTTGATTTAACCAAATACTACTCAAATTAAGAGCAAGTAGAAAATCTGGACTCGGCTTTTATACAAATAAAGAATTTTTAAGTCAAGAACATCTTACTAGAGGCCCATGGGCCAAAAGGCTCACCTGAGTATCTATGACAATGCTGTTTTTCATCAGCAGATTTATTCCTTCAAGATTCCTTTGTAAGCATTTGATTACTTTAAGCAACACTATGAAAAAAATGGTATGAATTCAAGCTTTCAAATAAGTTTCAACATACTTTACTTGTTGTGTTTTTTAAGAGGATCAATAATTTTCATTAATTCTTTATTATTTATATCATCTTGAAAGAGGATATGGTCCTTCATTCATTAACCAGTCCACTCATACAGATCAGATCCAGCATCTGAAGCAAGCCTGATAGTATGCATCCTTGGATGTATCCTCCATAAAAATTTGGTCAACATTGTTACTTGGAAAAGAGACCTGCACCAGAAACTTTAACCTGCACCAAAAACGTTAATCTGCTCCAAAAACTTTAACCTGGTCATTCCTTTGCTTAAATTACAGCATCTGAAGCCTTATCTTGTACATTAAACACAATAGAAGCATCTCCCATGCATGCCTGATTGATGAAGGGCATAGAAGTACTAAGAAAACTGCTCCAAAAACCTTAACCTTGGATGCTGACACTGATGCCGTGTGTTATCTAATAGGCTCCCCAAACTCAAGGAGGTGAGCTAAGTATGGTGTCACTGAAGCTCTTTGATTGTCCATCCCAAATTTTTTCCGACCATTCAACTACAGCTTGTTTGAAATAATCCAAACTGTACAGAAGAATAAAAGGGAAGAAAAATGTGAAAAATTTACAGGGACAGTTATGCCACTGACAGAAATTTTGATCAGAAAAACTGTAATTCAACCTTTGGTTCAGGCGAGCTAAACACAAAAAGAAAAGTAAGGAAGAAACAGGAATAGTATAACACACTTATAGTGAAGTGCCAGCATGAACAACTTCATCTCTCTATTAATATAATTCATTATATCCAATAGGTTAAAAATATATATTAAAACTGATCATGGAATGAATGGAACTTTGCTGAAAGTTTAAATATATCAAGCAGGCTATCTTGAACCATGTTTTTATGACAATGTACTGTATATTACATATTCCCTACACGTCTAACTTGAACCATAAACAAACCTTGACATAGAAAACACAAATGGTAAAATTCTTTTTCTTCACTCAATCTTTCTATTCTTTTATTCCTCTATTATATTTAATTTCTAAGATACACTTGTAAAAAAATGTCAGTAAGGCCATACAAGGCATACTAATTTTTCTCAAAAATGGCTAGACGTTTAATTTTAGATTGTTCATCCCTGGCACTTTTTAAAATAATAATGCAACAGTGTCCAACACAATATTATAGGAATTCATTATAAGGTGTGGATATAAATGTGTGTATAATAATGATTGCACACATTTTCTGAAGTACCTACCTCATTTTCATCCCTTAATCGCTTCATCTTGTGTGAAAAATAAACAAGATGTCTCAATAGCATCCCACATCAAGATAAACACTGAATACATAAACTATACTGTTTTACATTTATTTTAATTTCTAGGAATGGCTATAGGTATTGTCATTCCTCTGACAGGACAATCATCACTGCTCAATCCTGGGTGACAAACACTTACCAGGTCTTGGTATTCGTCCTCCACTTCCCGTCTCCCCGATAACCAGTTATCGTCATCCAACACACCTTTACTTCGATTGCGATCAGATCTATACCTTCCTGGCCTACAACACAAACAAAAGAAATTCACGTTTTTTCATTAAATTATAAATCAACTTATTGAATGAACTGTAAACTATGCTGCTCCACAGAATAACAGGGATCCTGCGACAACACATAACCTTTGCACCCCTAGCCAATTTCATTCAATAGTTCGTGGACTGACTGTAGCGACACATACAAATGACAAATCTTGATTGTTTTTCTTATCTCTCAAGTAATCACATTCAGCGGTACTATACTAGTCAAAATTTCTAAGTCCCCAGGCAAGTTTTTGCTTTACACCGCTCTTATATTGAATCATTTTAACAGTATAATTTAATAAGTATACAGGATAATAAAGTAGCAAAACAATTTTTCTCACTTAATTTATTTAATTGAAGCGCTTTAACACAATATGCAGAAACGTTAAGGCACCCTAGAATTAAAAATTCGCAACATTAAATGCTGCATTATTCTCCATTCAAACGAATTCACAGCAAGACAACCGTTGCTCAAAGAGTTCACACTATTTAAGAAAAATCCTTTTATTGAATGTTTTTCCATGTGGAGACTAGGTCGTCCTCTAGTTCCGCTAGATTCTGCTGCTGGAAAAGCTGTCTCACACTCCGGTTTATCTTCTTTAATACATGCTAATTAGGGTTGAGATTAGGATGACAAGGGGGCTTATCGAAATTGTCTGTGCCTTGTCAACAATAGTTACATAACGTCTTCTTACATGTATTCCCAACTCCTCCAGTTTGACATTGAGGGGATGGCACTTCTGGTTCCATTGATTTTTCCGGATAAACTTTAGGATGATTTTGTGGTGTTTGTTGAAAATCTAGCGATTTCTAACGATTAAAAGGAATTCAGGTACGCTTTGTAGGTTTTGATACTGGTAATGATAAAGGTTTTAAGTAAAATAAAGTCATACAGTGAAAGGAAACAGGACTTTCGGTAACTACGACCAGCTTGGGCCATTTCAACTTCACTTGCACATTGTTGTGTGGACATACACCACATTTTATTCAAGCTTTTTTCTGTTTTTCATCATTAATTAAAGATGGAGAGCACATGGAAGTAAAAAATTTGAAGAACACACCCGAAAAACATACGGAACTCGAACTTCATGCTTTTTAACAAAAACGGTCATCACGGTCGAGTAATTACACATTCGATTACAATTTTTTTGGCCTTGACATGTAAGTATTGCAAATTAAAGGCAAATTTGTAATCAACTAGTAAATTGAAGTTAAGGTTTTTCATTTTTTGAAAAAATAAAAGTGGGGACTTAGAAATTTTGACAAGTATATAATAAATAACTTGTAACACCTGTATTTGAGGGTCAACTGAATCTTTCTGTTTACATTATCTAACTATTTCAGAAAGCTTTAATTAGATTGGTGCTTCTAAATGAAAGAAGTAAGCCCTAAAAAATCCAATGAAATTGGCCAAGGGTCCCATAGCAATGTGTTGTCTCAGGAACTCTGTCACTGTAAACAATACTTTTATGATTGTTAATACCTGTCGCCATCCCTGTCCTCGTCATTGTATCGTCGATCATTACCCTGTAACAAAAAGAATTCATTACAGACCACAAACAGAGGAGCAGCAAAAACTCAGCAAAGAAATATGACAACAGTGGACTGTGGTACATGATGTAGTGAGATATGAGATTCCTTACCGCTCTGTTGATTGCTCCATCACTGGCGTAGGCCTTCATCCCTCTCTGGGGATCCTCCCTCCTACAGACATAAAATCAACAATTAGCAACAGATTTAACTGTATCTATCATTCTAACAAGATATGTTTGTAAAACACTTATGCCCCCCTCCCCCAAATAAATGGAATTTTTCTAAGTCTAAGGGACATAACTCTGTCAAAAATGCTAAAACATATTTTGATCTAGATATTCTTATTATAAGTCTGTATACCAAATTTCAGTTCAATATGTGCAACCTCACCTCTGTAAAGAAAATGAACGGAAACAGTTGACCTAATTTAATTACAAGGCAGACCAGTGTAAAATATGTTTAAAGTTGGTCCATAAAAGGTCATGGATGGGAATTACTTATAATTTTAATTATATGATACTGACTCGAGTTACTAAAAATGCGCAAAAAAAATCCTAAAATTTTTATTTAATGGTGATTGTCAACTTCCCTACTTCATCATGGTGTAAACACATTATTAGACTCTCTAAGTGAGTTACCTGTATTGTGGCTCGTCTCTACGTCTGCGATCCTCCTCGTACCCCGGGGATTGCCAGCCCCTCCGGGGATTAGACGGGGCCTTATTACCTCCCCCTCGTCTCTAAAAATTTGAAAAAAAAAATTTATTCATGATATGTTTCCATACAGTATAAAATCATACAATATTTTCTTCATATACATATTAGTATTCTAAATCTGTAGCACTGAGCAAAAGACTAAGTCTATTTGAATTAATAAGCCTCTCCCAACATCATCCATATGGTAAATGGTATAAATTTTTTGGCTAATACTTCAAGACGCTTTCATTAAACAGAAATTTATTGGAAGAGAATCAAACACAACAGCACACAACAATTTAATAGCCATTCTCTGTAACCACTTACACTTCGTTGCCACGCAAGATCATCGATTTTGATTAAACTTCACCCATGCTTAGTACTTGACACCAAAAACAAATATCAAACAAAATTTCGTTGCTATGTGTCTCGGTTGCTATGGCAACAGCCGGAAAAGTTTGAAAAATCGAGATTTTCAGCCACTTTAAATTTTGACTGTGGCTTAATAAAAACTAGAAAAAGCAAACAAACTATTCTCACAAAAACATGACACCTTGATGTTACTTATACTGTAAAGAAACTGTTTAGAATATATCTCTAAGTAAGTGGTAACCAAGGGTACATTTGGAATACATTTAAAATGCTGAAATATGCTGAAAAACACTCCGTATTCACTAACTTTAGGTGTTACATGCTCAAACTCAATCAACGACTTAAGAAAAACAATGAAAATGTTTGACCTTAAGTATATAAGTATAAGCAATATTATTCTATAAATAACTTTTATGGTTGCCATGGTAACACAGTGTAACCATGCAAAACCACTAACTAAGATTGGGTTAATGCTACTGTCTCGAGGAAAAACATGAAAATTCAAGACTGGCAAAAATACATCCTTAGGACCTTGCAACACCAAAACCATAAGAAAAATGGGTATAATTGCTACTTTGCAGTGTTACCATGGAAACAAAGTACCAGTGTTTAAAAGTGAATTATTTTTCGCTGCATTAAGAATTAAATTGCCATTTAAACAAGAAACAAATTAAAGGACTCAAATTGAATAGTACTTATCTGTTAGAAATGAAGTTGAATATCATTTATTGATAAAATTTGATGAATAAAACAACACTGTTGCTATGGTTACCAAGAAGGGAAAATGTTCGATTTTGTGAACTTTATATCAATATTAAACCCTGTGTGCCAACTTCTTGCATCCACTTAGAGATTGGATGATAGTCAAAATTAAAAGTCAAGTTACCTGTTAATAAATATCAATCATAAAAGTTTTGGGAATCTACATTTAAGGGTATAAATTATTTTTCAGGTTTTTAAGCATATATTTTCTGCTTATTTCCATAGCAACGCTCTATTTAAAGAATCTAATCTTAATTTTTTCAAATGGGAAAACTTGGAGCACACCAACATCTTATAAAATTGATCATTAGTTATGAGGAAATGTGCTTTTTTTAAAAGATAGGGTCAGATTTAAACATACAGAGTGTTACTATGAAGGCTTTCTGTGGTATAAAAACCTTGGCAACCATTGCCAACCAAAATGAAATATCATATTTTGTTCTTGGTATATGTTTCAAGGCTCTTTTTTCTATTATTTGGTCACATTTCATCCTGTAATTGCTTTTTTATTTTTACGTGTATGACTTTATAAAATTCAATGAATATATCTTTTTACTTTTGAATACTTTGTTACCATAGTAACATATGTAATAGTTGATTTACCAAACATGTTTATCATGCATCTGAGACATCTGACCTTCAACTTTTGGAAACAGTCATTGCCAATTGTTTGCTTTGCCGCAAATGTTAACTATGGAGCTCTAAAAATATTTTAAAAATGCCATTTTTCGACCTTTAAGACATGTTGCCATGGTAACTATAAAACATAGCAACCAATTTTTGCCTGATTTCAGTTTAGGGTATCAATGACTTTTATCATAGAGAGTTTGGAGAAATTCTGAGACTATGCGTGCCACAGCTCCTATATAAAATTTCAAATCATTACAGAGAATGGTTCTTAAAACTAATAATTAAGTGTAAGACTAATATCTAAATAAAAAACAAAATGGTGTCCAAGACATCTGATGCCCCCAGCAATGGTACTCTGGAGAACTACATTTCCACTACAGTGTATCACTTAAAACCCTGATCAAAATTTGTGTTTTATCTTTAAAGATTTTACTTTTTGTGAAGTAAGAATATTTGAAATTTAAAGGCATAACATTTTTTATCGCTTTCTACTTACAGACAGGTTTTCCTGACTGTTTCGTAGAAAAGTGTTGTATTCTTGATTCCTAGCTTCAACTTTTCTTTTCTATGGCAAAATCAAAATTAAGAGGATGAGGTCTTAAATGTAATTATGTTTAAATGGCCAAAATTGATATCTTATAAAAAAAAGTTTGATTTACAATTGTTTGATTATGGAAAAAATTATCAAAATCTTGATTCAGTTAATTACTCTGAAAAAAGAATGTGAGAAATCTAGCAGGAGTATATACTGGAGCATTGTTACCTCTGCAGAGCCATTATAATGTAATCCTGGCAGTGTGGCATAGATTCCATCTCTGGGCTGTTGATGCAGAAAGTGGGTTAACATTAAGAACTTGTCATGCATTGATTAGAATTAATAAAGCAAATGTGCACAAAAAGCACATGCAGTATGGATATCTTGGGTGACATGTGTCAGTTTAACAACATATCATGAATAGGGAAAATTGTTTTACATGAAAAATGAAATCAATGAATAATATTTAAGTTCAAGGTCCAGTTAAACAATGCAAATCAGGAGAAGAGCAAAAAAACAACCTCTAAGACATAAGAGGTGGGATCAGGTGCCATGGAGGAGTGAGCATCCCCTGTGGACTGGTCCCACCCGCCATGTCCTTCATGCCATGAGCGGGTAAACAGAAAATGTGAAGTTATTCTAGTTTAATTATTTCTGTTGATCCCAGCAAAGCGGATACTATGTTAATAAATAAATTTTTCACAATGCATATTTCTTATCATAAATGGTTTTCATACATTTCTTAATATTTTCCTAAAAGGATTCTCTGCATAAAAAATTGCATTGATTTTTTTTGTTGTACTTTTCAACACATGAACATCCAAGCATATCCAAGAAAAAGACTGTCACATCTTCAACAATAAATTGAAGGGTGATGGTAATAAACTCACAATAAAAGCACACTTTACATTTACGTATATGTTCTCATATATTCAAACAGGTGTAAATAAAGTGAAGATAGTTAATCAGGGTGAAACATCTATACTGATTTCAGCCTATAAGAAGAGAAAAGGGCGATGAAAGGGAATCAAAGCATGGACTATGTAAACAGATAGACAGTCACAAAGGGAAAAAGGGGGGTAACTCTAGTGCCTAGTGATTAAATTACCTGGGGCTCAGACGAGGGTCGATTTCTTAATATACTTCTTGCACTCTGTTAATTTTACAATTACAATTATTAACATTTAAAGAAGACACAAAAAAATACCAAAACATATACAACAAGAGAATGTTTGTAAAACACTTATGCCCCCCTCCCCCACAAATTGGAATTTTTCTAAGTCCAAAAGGGCATAACTCTGTCAAAAATGGTGTGATCATACCCAAAACATAACTTGACCTCGATATTCATCTGACTAATTTGTATACTAAATTCCATTTCAATATGTGCAACCTCTCAAAAGAAAATGAATGGAAACTGCAAATAATTGGAATTTTTCTAAGTCCAAGGGGCATAACTCTGACAATTATGGTGCGATCGTATCCAAAACACAACTTGACTTAGACATTTATCTGACTAATCTGCATACTAAATTACATTTCAATATGTGCAACCTCTCCAAAGAAAATGAACGGAAACTGCAAATAATTGGAATTTTTCTAAGTCCAAGGGGCATAACTCTGACAATTATGGTGCATCACACCCAAAACAGGTTATGATAGAAAATGTATACGTGCAACCTCTCCAAAGAAAATGAACGGAAACTGCAAACAATTGGAATTTTTCTAAGTCCAAGGGGCATAATTTTGTCAATTATGGTGCCACCGACCGATATACCTGTATACCAAATTTCATTTCAGTATGTGCAGCAGCAAAGCAATATGCCCTCCCTTCTTCGAAGGGGGGCATAAAAACCCAATTATATATTTTTTACCAATTTAAAACCAGTAATGAATTGTTTTCTGAAAGTAGACTAGCTTAATGGCTCAAGAAATTAAAGTCCAAGGTTCATAAAGCATAAAACTATAAGCAGCAATTTTAACGGTGGTAAATCCTTATTTATCCTCTGATTCCCACGGCTTTGATCTCTGACCACTTTTGGCCAAGAATAGTATAGGAGTCTACATTCTAACTATACATATCCTGTAGTTAATTCAGTATCGTTGACACTAAGTAGCTCTGCCTATAGATCTATGAAGGCTTTGCTAGCCTATCCAGTCATAAGAAAGCTTACTTTCCTATTAGTTGCTAGGTACCATTGATCATAGACAATGACCTTGGATAATGCTTTATATCAACTGTGGATGTTTTCTCCCTCTGCATGTTTATACTTGGACAGATAATTCCACTTGACTTTGCCTATAACTTTGTTCTGAAGATTGCATCCAAAACCCAACAATTTGCAACTAGTTGAATTGAAGAGAACTGCCACAAGCTGTACTATAGAAAGTCTAAGCATAATATGTGGAAGGACATATTATCAAAAACACACAATAAAAAAAGACATTCCACCTTGACCCTGACCTTCTATCTTGGGACACATCAAGAATCATATTTTAACTTACTTCTTAATACTCTGACTTTTACAAAAACCTTAAACAAGTGAGAAGATACATCTTCTTTATTAGCTAAGTCAAAGGTCTAAAACAAAGAAATTAATTACACAAAGACAAACTGAAACCCAATTTAAGTCTACCATCAACTGCTCCATTCTGATATTAATATATTACGCTTGAAAAGCAATGGACCATAACTGGTGAATACTTATACTCAGGAAATCAACATGAAAAGTCACAACAAACAAAGACATGCATTCCTATAATCCACTAACAACAAGAACTTACTACATTCTCATACAATTAACAACCATAAAAAATATACTTGCAAGATTCAAGGAATCAACATCCATCAACATGATCTCAATGATGTTTACTCCAACATAGCACAATATACAATCTCCAACACTATCTAAATGATATACCTATACTGTAGTACCTGAACATAAACCTTAAAGATGAGTATTGATTCTGAGTCACTATGGATACTCTACGTACAAATCTCACCGCAATCATTCTATTTATCTCCAATATCCCACCTCACACATCTATTTAATTAATATTTCATAAGCTGACCAAGGAAATTTAATGGACTAAGAAATAATAATGGCAGAAGTGTGTATATATACAGTGTTATTGCTGTATTAAAGTGTTTTGATTTGAGTTATATGATCAGATGTAATTCATAGTCAACGATTACTGTGTATGGAATATGTTAGAGGGACTGATCTGGGCAATAACATATAGTTTATTTAGAGTGTGTTAATGAGAGGATTCTTTGGATAATTTTTTTGCTATATATCAATGATAAATCTTTTCATTACATGCCACCCCCATCCACCCAAAGGTGAAAAAAAAACTTGGGGCTTTAAGGCTTAAAATTCTACTATAATAACTTTTTATTTACGAGATTCAAAATTACACAAAATACAAGACATTCACAAAATAACTTTCAATTACAATTGTGGTATGAGTTACACATTATATTCATTAGTATACAATTCTAGTAAGTTATATGAGCCTTCTTCCTTGACCCTATACACAGTTATAAATAATCATGCCTCCCCGTAACCTAGCTGTATATAGATAGAATACTCCACATACCTCTCCATATTTCTGTCTGTCATATCTGTGTTTTTCCTGTTCTCGTTTTTGTTTAAGAAACTCATTGTATTCCTCGTTCCGGGACTGTTTTTTCCTGATCTGAAATAGAAATGGTTGGATTTACTTGTTTGGTTGTGAAGAGTGCCAAATCAAAAGTATTCATCAGGCATGCTCATTGAGCCTGATGCAAGATGCTTCAGCTGCCAGTGCCTTAATTTGTGGAGGTGATTCCATGATTCCAAACAATTTAGACAGATTAACAAAGTAATCCCTATATGTCCATCAAGCTCCACCCTCCTCAGCAAGACATCATCATTTATAAAAATTGTGTGCATTGTTCATCTTTCCATGTACGACAGTCTTTGATGTTATTTGTACCATAAAATACATGGAACTCACCTCTGCAGACTCATGTGATCTTATCCCACGAAGACTTGCCTCAAATGAATCTGTATCCTTTGGAGGTATATCCTCTGGCTGAAATAAGATTTTAATTGAAACATTTTTAATCACCTGCTCAGTAATATTTTAAAATGAGATCAATCCATACTGTTAAGGTCATCTTTTGCTTGACAAAAAAACTTGCAGTACCGGGTAACTCAACTCCTTCTTTTTTCTAAAAGACTCTACCGGTAATCATTAGTGAAGGATTGTTTTGGTTTTATAAAAGGTTCCCAGATTTGTGTGCAGAAAATTTGCTACATGAATTCTTAACTTAAATTATTACTTATTAAGTTTGTTACTGATTGTTCACAGAAATATGATGGATTAATTCTTCAAGTCCCTGGAAGGCAAGACCCATTTTAACATAGGAGGATATGGGGAAATAACTGCTGATTGAGAACAGCATGGCAATTAACACTTAGAAGAGCAAAAACAAATGAATTCCTCAAACCTACCTCCACTGGTGGGTCTCTGGGCCTGCCTCGCCTTGGTGCTTCCTGGAACAGAGGAAGGTGTTACATTGTATGATACATTATGCTAAATAAATGGATCATGTGTTGGAATAAATTGAGCATGTTTTTGTTTTTATTTTAAACTTTTCATAAAGTCATACATATTTAACACACAGTCTTCTACAATCTCTACAACACAAAATCTATGACATTCTGCACAATGTTGCATTCCCTACTGATTAAGTGTAATTTCTAGAGCTACGTCAACCACTCTAAATGCTACCTCCTCCTTATCATTCAATGGTTTGTCTTTGTTGGCCAGTGTAGTTAGACTCCTAACAACACCTGACAGGGCCTCATATTGCTGAAAGTTATACAGATATTAAAAATCTCAGTCAAAAGAATATCAAGAGGATGTTCTCACAGAGCAAGGAAATAATGTTATAAGGATTAACACCGTGCCAGTTTTTGTGAAATGAGTCACAGGAAACATTTTGTGTTTTAATTCAGTAAGGAATCACCCATGCCATTTATATTGTGTTTTGGGAAAGTTGATAAAGGTGGCAGTTTTGATAACTCATAGATTTGTTCAGAAATGATGAATTCTGTTATGAGTGAAATGACTGCAAATGAATTTAATGTAAGTTATACATGACACTGATTTTAGTTTTAAGGTATGATCTGTATAAAAGCTGGCTCGATCAATTTCAGTTCCAGTTTCATTACCTCTGAGTCAGTATACTTAGCTAAGTACAGTGAAACTTGCTTACAATGAACACACATTTAAGGAATTCTCAGTTTTAAGGAAGTTATAACTAATCCCAATCTCTAGTATCATAATTAACATTAATTTCTTTTCTGAATGTAAAAGAAAAAAAACTACACTGGCATGCTTAAAGCAAATTTCAGCTTTCAGTTTAATCCATTATTCTGTTGCTCTAGCATTGTATACCTAATTTTCAGAATCACTTAAAAACATACTGTTGTATACAGTGAAATTTTCACCCCCGTTTTATTTTCACCCCTTTTGCCCTATCCTTATTTGGGCGAATTTAAAATGGGACGAACTCAAATAATACGGTATAATTTCTTAAACAAATCTATGACTGGGCGAATTTAAAACGGGGCAAAATTGTTTGCAAGTGTGAAAGGGCGAAAATAACACGGGGCAAAAATAACCCTGTATACAGTATAGAGAGATAAAATGTCCGATGGAAGATTAGCCACGTTGTCTAATAGGCCTGTTACATAGCATGGCAAAGAAAGAGAACGAGAGCCAGAAATTAGCCATAGCAGATAATAAATGCAAGGACTGGCGATCATCACTTCTGAACAAATGTGTTTACCCAATCATCACCATAGAGACTGTCATAAGAAGAGGCCAAAGTTTTAGCCACCCCAATCAAAGCTCTGCCTTGCTGGAATCATACAGTGAAAAGCAGATACAATGAGCCTCTATTCTCCCATCACAAAATACATTAAATCTTTAAGTTGAATGGAATAAGTATTTATTTTAATCTCAGTGAACCCTACCTCAGCTAGCATGTGGTTGTATTCTTTCTTTCTCTCAGTGTTTAGTTTCTCTCTCTCCTCCTGGTGCCTTCCGATGCCGGAGAGGAAATCGTCGGGAGATCTAGCTCTAGCCTGCTCGGCCCGCCTTCCTCTACCTCTCTCTTGTTCCTTCTATAAAAATCAATGTAAAAGATAATGTCATCATGAGGAATACTAACATGATAGAAAATGCCATTTTAAACAATAATAATTCAAATCTTCATAATAGATCAATGATTGATTGAAACAAATGTTTATGAAAACTGTCCCAATAGTTCATAGACTTAGCATAAGTTTATAACGGGGGTAAAATCATATTATAAATTTAGTTTCCAATTCGTATACAGTAGTCTCACTAACAATCTACATACATGCTACAATAGCTTATATAAATTCAATAACATCAATGCATGTCAAACTGGTGCTGAGTAGGAGAGAGAATGAAGATAGCACAAAATTAACACTTTGGTAAAAAATTCATTTATTATTCAGTCAAATTGTACATGATATTATATAACAATCCATTCAAAATTTCACTTATTAGTACTGGTACATTCTGTGTAAAAATGATATTATGTAAGAGCAAAAATCATGTATAATTTCTGAAAGAAAAAATCATACGCAATAGAATTCTGCAAGACATTTCTTTGAGCATTAATATCATAGATTGAGAAAAAGCAATCAAAAGTTTTCGCTTCAAAATGCAAGCCATTAATTCCACACAATTTGTTTTGGTGACAGCCCTGAAGAAAAAAAAACAATTCTGTTCAGTATCTTCATGCATCAGTATAATTCCAGTTTCATTAGAGAGCAGAAAAACCAACATGCTCAGTAGTAATTGTAGAAATGGGGCACCTGCATCTTTATAGTGGTAGTGTGTTAAAATCTTGGCCATGCACGCTGCATACGTGATACCTGAAGCTGCAGTTGATAATTTTCCTCGATCAAATCTTTTTTTTGTTTGATTTTCTTAATGTATTGTCTGAGAATAAATTCTGGTACCTCACTGCCTGAGATCTCGTCAAGAGACTTTAATAACTCGTTAACCTGCTCCCTATAAATAACCAGCGGGTGTTTCCTGACCTTGGCATCATTACGCAGGGACGGCAGTTTGTTTTGGTCCACTCTCTTCGTGGAGTAATAGTACACATGCTAGAAGGTGGTACACAAAACTCACGCTAATGTTTAAGTGAAGATATTTGTAAGCAAAATATAATATTTGAATATTTGATTACAATTTAAAGCATCTATACAAAAAAAATCCATAAAAGCAGAAATTTTGTTAAAGAGGTGTCACGTGAAAGTTTGGTTTTACATATACAGCAATTATTTTTTTCAAGTTGTTGTGAAATATATTTTATAATGAGTGGAGAGGAGATGTGAGGTATTTTGAAGAAGATGACACAGATTAAAGGTGTGCTGATGGTTAGTTAGTGGACAGAGCTACCTTGTCCATCAACTCTCGATACTCTCTCTGACGTTCCTGTTGCAATTTTTTCTTCTCATCTTCGTATCCTCCAAGCGACAGATTTGACCCCCTCTGCCTCCCTGCAGGGGGTTTGTTTTTATTAAATTTCTGATAAAAAAGAAGGAATCTTACTTCTATTGAAATAAAACTTACCATTAAGAGAACAAATCCCAAAAAACTGGTATATCCATTATCCACTTTTGTGACAATTAAAATTTAAATTTCATAAAAAACAAAATAAACAAAATATAAAAAATCAAAGTGTAAAGTGAAAAATACTGTACATGCAATACAAACAAAAATTACAGAAAAAGGTTTAAATTAAAATTTTCAAAACCGTCCCTTGAAAATCTTTAACTTTTTGAAATGCAACCTATTAATCAATTACTTGTCTTTATCAATATGCTACTAAAAAGGAAACCTTTTAAATTGAAGACAAGCGGTATGTTTAATACCCTGGTTATTACCGTAAATCTGGAAATTTTTGCTGTAGATAAATTTTTAGCAAATTTGCGAGTTCATTGCATTCGCAAAAATATTATTCTTAAAAATAAAATACCAATAAGAAAATGTAAACAAAGTAGTGGTCATTCGCAAAATTTTGAAACGTAAAAATTAATCAACAGCATTCTGACCCGAATTCGCAAAATAAAATCGACGCAAAAAAATCCAGATTTACGGTAATAGAAAATACAAGTGTTTGGCTACAAGTTAAGTAGATTCAAGTAGGTATATTTTCTTTGAACAATCAATTATTTTAAAAAATAAACTTCAAAACATAAATTGATCTGCAGAATTTTCAAGGTGAAAAAAAGTCAATGGACATGGGCTACAATGCTCACCTGATTCATCTTTGCTGTGATGCAGATAAAAAGAAAATTGTTTTTCTCTTTAATTTATTCCCAAGAAATTTTTTTTACCCAGGTTATGACATCAAAACTTGAATGCACACTTAATGAGATTCTGAGTGTATTGTAGTTTTGCTGTTCTGGAGAAAAAAATACGATTTTTTTTACATGCAGGTGCTTTATAAAATATCTTCCTATTTCAATAAAACTTCAACAAACACTCATCAATTTTTACAAACTTGAATCCCAACCACTAGGGAATGTTGGCATAAGTACACTAGTAAGTGTGGTCCTGCTACCTTAGTGAAATTTTTGTTGAAATCTAATGCCAATTTTGGCTGAAATTGCCCAAGTGGTTCTAGAGAAGGTGAAACAGTTAAAGAACGTAACAAAATTACTGATGACAGACAGACTTCAGACATATATGCAGACACCCTTCAATCAGAAAAGCACACTTCAGCCTTTTGGCTTAGGTGAGCTATAAAAATAATACTGTATAAGCAAAAACAAAACGGTGAACGAATGGAATACAATACATGCAAGTCAAGTGATACCTTTTTAAGAAACTCATTATATTCTCGATTTCTCTCGGCTTCCTGTTGCTGTTTGCGTTTAAAGTCATTAGATAAAGGGAGGCCACTGTCTATGTCCTCTGGATCATTCCAGCTACGGTTCATGGCTTGTGCATTTTTCTGGTGCATTGATAACAAAATCAGAGTAACAAAACTCATACACCTATATACTCAGTACATTAATAAATATGACAACAAAATCAAAGGCATATAGTTAACTTGAAATTATGTAAAAGAAAGTTCAGCCTTGTGTGCATTCAAATTTGACAACATCCTGTGATTTTAAACAATCAAAACACAATTTACAAAAAAAAATTGTAGCTTTTTGGAAAGAATGAAAAAAAAGTATGTAAACAGCAAGCAACATACAGAGAAAAATACTAAAAAGTTTACTAAATACAGAGTCTCATAGAGATACGTACCACACGTAATTCAGTGTATTAACTTTTTTTAACACAGCTAGGTAAGTCCACATGAAATTTGTCAGACAAAAAATGAAGAAATATGCTTGGTCTGTTCGCACATATTTAAAATTCAATTTAACCAATATTTCTGGGTTTTGTAATCACTTACTATTACAAATGCTGGAATTAATTCCCTAGATAATTCAAGAGTTCCTATTTCCCATGCTATGCAAAAGGTTTCAGATAAAATTCATGTAATTATATATATATACTTAAAACTATATTCTTCAAAAATACTCATAACTATTGTTTCACTCAAATTTGGTTCAACAGAGGTGCATGTTCATATTACCAGTCTAAGAGCAAATATATCCACTAAAAGGTTCATGTGGACAACCGAAAGATGTAAAATATTCTAAAGTATTTTCAATTACCAAGTAAGCAAGGATTTCTACAAAGTCTCTCATTTTTAGCCCGGCTTATTGCTCAAAGAGCAATTGCCGGCTTATATCATCCTGTTCGAGGCAGGAAGTCAACCCCATAGTCGCCATTTTAAAGTTACGTGCAAAAATATAGTTCTTACTCTCAACCGCTTTTTAGATATTACAAACGCTAAATAAAGCAACAAAAATAAAACGAAGTTTTATCTATATAAATAAACATTAGTAGTAATGACTTTGAAAACTTCAGTCCTAAGTCAAAGAACATAGTTCATTAGCGTAAGGATTTTTGATAATCAGTGTTATCGTAGTTCTCTACACATATGAGGTAAAGCAGGAGAGGGAACCAGACTGGCCTGTTTGTTTACATTCAGCTGTGGTACCAGATTAATTCTGATTCTGACAAAATCGGACCGTGGTATTAGGATTGAAAAACTCACTGTCAGTGTCTTATCATTTATACTGATAGTTTTAAAATAATTTTTTCATCAGAATATAAACGTGATTCATGTAAGAAATTCATTCTACTCTGTAAATGAGCCCGGCTCTCTGTACTTCTGAGTACTTTGAGTTATTGATGCAAGATATTCTAAAACTATCATCCTATGGTTACTATTAAAAGATGGTATCAAGATTCTGAGAAAGGAGAATAGAGAAACATTAACTGATCCACAACTCCCTTTAACAGAGAGTACCACAAAGATTGAAGTACAAGACTTAAGTATAGAATCTCAAGACACAGGGGTGACAAAGAGAGGTAGAGAACTGAGAAAATTTATACCAAAAAGATTTACAAGATTAGTATAGATTCTCAAGACACAGGAGTGACATTGAGAGGCAGAGGACAGTTCTACCACATAGATTTACAGGTACAGAATCTCAACACACAGAGGTGACACTGAAAGGTAGAGGAAACAGAACACAGAGGGTAAGGTGCAGTGATAGATCATACACAGAGCTACCTCTTCCAGATGCTGGCGAGTTTCCTGGATTCTCTCTGATTTCAGCTTCTCTCTGTGTGTTTCATATCCCCCCAGTCTATGACTGAAAGGAGGCTCTGACTCAGACTAAAGTAGAGGTTTATGCTAATTTTAAATTAACTGTTTCATGCTCTGATTAGTTAAGGGGAATATCTCATTTAGAATTCTTCAAACACACAATATCTCACAAAAAACAAAAGGCTGGTCAGGTTCTATCTAAAACTAGATGGAAATCAGGGAAAGTATAAATCAGTCAGCCTTTTTTAAAACCTAAGACTAATCTCATGTTTCTATGTCACCATTGTGTCACAGCTATCCTAAATGATTGCTTATGTAAATATATTAAACTTCCTTGTTCTAGAATTTTTTTTCAAAAATGATTGCTCATGTAAATTAAATATTTTCCTTCTCATTATAAAAATTTGCCTCAATCCCAGTCTTTATAATTGGTTTTTGCTAAAAGAACTAATGTGGTATATTGCATATATTTGCCCCCACAAAAGTCAAATTTTGAAAACTTCCTGAAATGTGCTGAATTCAATAAATTGTATGAGAAATATAAATTAACAGAAAATATTATAGTGTCAAAGCAGTGTATTCACAATTTTTGTTTTTATGACGTCACAAACTAATCCGATTTTATATCCTTTTTCAGAAAGAGGACAAAATGGACAAAATTTCAACAATTTTAGCTTTAAAATTTATAGAGCGCAAGTTTGTTCAGGAACAATATTGACATATTTCATTGATATTATCATTCTACACATTATATCAAAATATTTATCCTGAAGACACATGCGCTCGGTGACTTTTACTCAAAATATCAACGAAATATGTACATTTTTCTGTAAAATTCTTAAAAAACTGAAATTTACGTCATGTTTGTGACGTCATTACATACATATGGCGTCATTACTTATGAAAATATTCAGTGCTTTGAAGTCAGCATATTCTTTCCTGTTTAAGAAATTAATTAGTATATCTCCATCAAAGTTTGATTTGGGGGGCAAATATTAGTTATTACCGAATAAACTTCTTTGTCAAAAAAACTATTTTTAACTTCTTGAGAATGTAGGGCAAAAATATAAACATCATCCATCTCTGTTGGTAGAATTATCTTTTTCCCACTAAAACCAATTTACTGGGAGTATCCTGGGGTGGAATTTCCCCCATTTTACTGACCTGTTGTACGTAATTCTGGTAATCATTTCGTCTCTCGTCCTCGTATCGCTGATGTAATCTGTCCACGAATCTGTCGTTCTCCTCCCTCCTCGGGGAGTAGTCGTCGTTCCTAGGGGGAGGGGCATATTCTGACTGCAGTCTTCGGGTGTCGTACTGGTCATTCCTTCGCCCTGGGGGTGGAAGTTCAGATAGAGGTGCATTTCTTCCCTAAAAGTGAATAAAATTAGCGATTTATTGTATCTTGTATCAAGATTTTACATGTCGTGTTTTTTTGTTAAGAAAAATTGGCTACCACAATTTAATAAATATTATTTTACAAGTACTTATATCTATATATATAACAAATAAAGCTGAATACAAAATTCAGAGCTTCATCATATGTGCAACCAAATAAAAAATACACACACAAACAAACCCAAAATAAAATGTGCCATTCCAAAAACAGCTATTGATTTTGTCCAATATATCATGTTCCTACCAAATAACCCCCTACCCCCATATAACTAAACTTTGACTTTTGCTGTCTTTTGAAGAAACTCCCTTTTTTTCCCAAATAAAATGTAACCTTCAGGAGAGACTTTCTGGTTAACAGCGATTTTTTATGATGTCAATACCCTGGCACTGACATATTTATACCTGGTAACCATAGTCCCCCCTATCTCTTATAAGATTATCATCCAGTTTTCTCTGAAATTCTGATTGTTTTCTTTCAATTTCTTTTTCTCGTTCTGCTATCTCTTTAGCCCTCTCTTTTTCCTCTCTCTGTCTTTGAAACAAGGCTTGTATATCTTGTTCTCTCAATGGATAAGCTTCTATCATTCTATCTTTTTCCTATATCACGAAAAATAAAAGAATATTCAAACATAGAGCAAAACTCAACAAAATAAGAAACCAAAATAAATAATCATTATAAGTGTTCTCCCACTTTAGCTCCCCCACCAACACCTGGGCCCACATGCTCATATATTCCCATGTACATTTTCGATAAAAACATTGTTGAAACTTAATGATTAATTGAGAGATTCAAAACTTCAACAGAATGATATCTGAGCATTTAAGAGCACCTATTGTTGAAAATAAAACAACTACAAGTTTGCTAACAGCTAGAACAAGCATTACCAAACTTAAATATTTTATTTAATAAATCTAACATCCTCCTGGTATCTGACATACCCTAAGATACCCCTCTACTATAATCTGATAGTGGTTACCCTAAGATACCCCTCTACTACAATCTGATAGTGGTTACCCTAAGATACCCCTCTACTACAATCTGATAGTGGTTACCCTAAGATACCCCTCTACTATAATCTGATAGTGGTTACCCTAAGATACCCCTCTACTACAATCTGATAGTGGTTACCCTAAGATACCCCTCTACTACAATCTGATAGTGGTTACCCTAAGATACCCCTCTACTACAATCTGATAGTGGTTACCCTAAGATACCCCTCTACTACAATCTGATAGTGGTTACCCTAAGATACCCCTCTACTACAATCTGATAGTGGTTACCCTAAGATACCCCTCTACTACAATCTGATAGTGGTTACCCTAAGATACCCCTCTACTACAATCAGATAGTGGTTACCCTAAGATACCCCTCTACTATAATCAGATAGTGGTTACCCTAAGATACCCCTCTACTACAATCTGATAGTGGTTACCCTAAGATACCCCTCTACTATAATCTGATAGTGGTTACCCTAAGATACCCCTCTACTACAATCTGATAGTGGTTACCCTAAGATACCCCTCTACTACAATCTGATAGTGGTTACCCTAAGATACCCCTCTACTACAATCTGATAGTGGTTACCCTAAGATACCCCTCTACTACAATCTGATAGTGGTTACCCTAAGATACCCCTCTACTACAATCTGATAGTGGTTACCCTAAGATACCCCTCTACTACAATCTGATAGTGGTTACCCTAAGATACCCCTCTACTACAATCTGATAGTGGTTACCCTAAGATACCCCTCTACTACAATCTGATAGTGGTTACCCTAAGATACCCCTCTACTACAATCTGATAGTGGTTACCCTAAGATACCCCTCTACTACAATCTGATAGTGGTTACCCTAAGATACCCCTCTACTACAATCTGATAGTGGTTACCCTAAGATACTCCTCTACTACAATCTGATAGTGGTTACCCTACTACTACAATCTGATAGTGGTTACCCTAAGATACCCCTCTACTACAATCTGATAGTGGTTACCCTAAGATACCCCTCTACTACAATCTGATAGTGGTTACCCTAAGATACCCCTCTACTACAATCTGATAGTGGTTACCCTAAGATACCCCTCTACTACAATCTGATAGTGGTTACCCTAAGATACTACTACAATCTGATAGTGGTTACCCTACTCCTCTACTACAATCTGATAGTGGTTACCCTAAGATACCCCTCTACTACAATCTGATAGTGGTTACCCTAAGATACCCCTCTACTACAATCTGATAGTGGTTACCCTAAGATACCCCTCTACTACAATCTGATAGTGGTTACCCTAAGATACCCCTCTACTACAATCTGATAGTGGTTACCCTAAGATACCCCTCTACTACAATCTGATAGTGGTTACCCTAAGATACCCCTCTACTACAATCTGATAGTGGTTACCCTAAGATACCCCTCTACTACAATCTGATAGTGGTTACCCTAAGATACCCCTCTACTACAATCTGATAGTGGTTACCCTAAGATACCCCTCTACTACAATCTGATAGTGGTTACCCTAAGATACTCCTCTACTACAATCTGATAGTGGTTACCCTAAGATACTCCTCTACTACAATCTGATAGTGGTTACCCTAAGATACTCCTCTACTACAATCTGATAGTGGTTACCCTAAGATACCCCTCTACTACAATCTGATAGTGGTTACCCTAAGATACCCCTCTACTACAATCTGATAGTGGTTACCCTAAGATACCCCTCTACTACAATCTGATAGTGGTTACCCTAAGATACCCCTCTACTACAATCTGATAGTGGTTACCCTAAGATACCCCTCTACTACAATCTGATAGTGGTTACCCTAAGATACCCCTCTACTATAATCTGATAGTGGTTACCCTAAGATACCCCTCTACTACAATCTGATAGTGGTTACCCTAAGATACCCCTCTACTACAATCTGATAGTGGTTACCCTAAGATACCCCTCTACTACAATCTGATAGTGGTTACCCTAAGATACCCCTCTACTACAATCTGATAGTGGTTACCCTAAGATACCTCTACTACAATCTGATAGTGGTTACCCTAAGATACCCCTCTACTAAAATCAGATAGTGGTTACCCTAAGATACCCCTCTACTACAATCTGATAGTGGTTACCCTAAGATACACTACAATCTGATAGTGGTTACCCTAAGATACCCCTCTACTACAATCTGATAGTGGTTACCCTAAGATACCCCTCTACTACAATCTGATAGTGGTTACCCTAAGATACCCCTCTACTACAATCTGATAGTGGTTACCCTAAGATACCCCTCTACTACAATCTGATAGTGGTTACCCTAAGATACCCCTCTACTACAATCTGATAGTGGTTACCCTAAGATACCCCTCTACTACAATCTGATAGTGGTTACCCTAAGATACCCCTCTACTACAATCTGATAGTGGTTACCCTAAGATACACCTCTACTACAATCTGATAGTGGTTACCCTAAGATACTCCTCTACTACAATCTGATAGTGGTTACCCTAAGATACCCCTCTACTACAATCTGATAGTGGTTACCCTAAGATACCCCTCTACTACAATCTGATAGTGGTTACCCTAAGATACTACAATCTGATAGTGGTTACCCCCTCTACTACAATCTGATAGTGGTTACCCTAAGATACTCCTCTACTACAATCTGATAGTGGTTACACTTAGATACTCCTCTACTACAATCTGTTAGTGGTTAGACTAAGATTCCCCTCTACTACAATCTGATAGTGGTTACCCTAAGATACTCCTCTACTACAATCTGATAGTGGTTACCCTAAGATACCCCTCTACTACAATCTGATAGTGGTTATAAGATACCCTCTACTACAATCTGATAGGTTACCCTAACTACAATCTGATAGTGGTTACCCTAAGATACTCCTCTACTACAATCTGATAGTGGTTACCCTAAGATACTCCTCTACTACAATCTGATAGTGGTTACCCTAAGATACACTACAATATGGTTACCCTAAATTAGTCCTCTACTACAATCTGATAGTGGTTACCCTAAGATACTGCCTCTACTACAATCTGATAGTGGTTACCCTACCCTCAAGATACCCCTCTGATAGTGGTTACTACAATCTGATAGTTTTTCTACTACAATCTATAGTGGTTACCCTAAGATACCCCTCTACTACAATCTGATAGTGGTTACCCTTAGTGGTTACCCTAAGATACCCCTCTACTACAATCTGATAGTGGTTACCCTAAGATACTCCTCTACTACAATCTGATAGTGGTTACCCTAAGATACCCCTCTACTACAATCTGATAGTGGTTACCCTAAGTACCCCTCTACTACAATCTGATAGTGGTTACCCTAAGATACCCCTCGACTACAATCTGATAGTGGTTACCCTAAGATACCCCTCTACTACAATCTGATAGTGGTTACCCTAAGATACCCCTCTACTACAATCTGATAGTGGTTACCCTAAGATACCCCTCTACTACAATCTGATAGTGGTTACCCTAAGATACTACAATCTGATAGTGGTTACCCTAAGATACCCCTCTACTACAATCTGATAGTGGTTACCCTAAGATACCCCTCTACTACAATCTGATAGTGGTTACCCTGATACCCCTCTACTACAATCTGATAGTGGTTACCCTAAGATACCCCTCTAACAATCTGATAGTGGTTACCCTGATACTACAATCTGATAGTGGTTACCCTAAGATACTACTACAATCTGATAGTGGTTACCCTAAGATACCCCTCTACTACAATCTGATAGTGGTTACCCTAAATACTAAACTAAATCTGATAGTGGTTACCCTAAGATACTCCTCTACTACAATCTGATAGTGGTTACCCTAAGATACCCCTCTACTACAATCTGATAGTGGTTACCCTAAGATACCCCTCTACTACAATCTGATAGTGGTTACCCTAGATACCCCTCTACTACAATCTGATAGTGGTTACCCTAAGATACCCCTCTACTACAATCTGATATGGTTACAATATATAGTGGTTACCCTAAGATACTCCTCTACTACAATCTGATAGTGGTTACCCTAAGATACCCCTCTACTACAATCTGATAGTGGTTACCCTAAGATACCCCTCTACTACAATCTGATAGTGGTTACCCTAAGATACCCCTCTACTACAATCTGATAGTGGTTACCCTAAGATACCCCTCTACTACAATCTGATAGTGGTTACCCTAAGATACCCCTCTACTACAATCTGATAGTGGTTACCCTAAGATACCCCTCTACTACAATCTGATAGTGGTTACCCTAAGATACCCCTCTACTACAATCTGATAGTGGTTACCCTAAGATACCCCTCTACTACAATCTGATAGTGGTTACCCTAAGATACCCCTCTACTACAATCTGATAGTGGTTACCCTAAGATACCCCTCTACTACAATCTGATAGTGGTTACCCTAAGATACTCCTCTACTACAATCTGATAGTGGTTACCCTAAGATACCCCTCTACTACAATCTGATAGTGGTTACCCTAAGATACCCCTCTACTACAATCTGATAGTGGTTACCCTAAGATACCCCTCTACTACAATCTGATAGTGGTTACCCTAAGATACCCCTCTACTACAATCTGATAGTGGTTACCCTAAGATACCCCTCTACAATCTGATAGTGGTTACCCTAAGATACCCCTCTACTACAATCTGATAGTGGTTACCCTAAGATACCCCTCTACTACAATCTGATAGTGGTTACCCTAAGATACCCCTCTACTACAATCTGATAGTGGTTACCCTAAGATACAATAATCTGATAGTGGTTACCCTAAGATACCCCTCTACTACAATCTGATAGTGGTTACCCTAAGATACCCCTCTACTACAATCTGATAGTGGTTACCCTAAGATACCCCTCTACTACAATCTGATAGTGGTTACCCTAAGATACCCCTCTACTACAATCTGATAGTGGTTACCTGTTCTATATGTCTGTCGTCATGATGCACATGTAACATTCTCTCGAATTCTTGGATTCGCTTCTCCTCCACCATTTTATCTCGGAGGTCCCGCCTCTGTTTTTCCTGAGATATCTTATTGTAATCTGGAGACACGAGTTGAGCATGTCTGGGTATACTAATGTCCACATTTCCTCTGGCCCTGGTTATTGCCTGCTCTAAAGCTTGCTGAAAAAAGTCATACAAAAAATACTAAAAAAGATGGACTTTTATAAATATTAAAATTTATTTCACAAAAGCCTTTTAACTAAAGCCATCTTATTTATTGTGAAACAAGGGCCTTCTATTTCTTGTGCCCTGAGCTCTGACCTTTTCTAACTCCTCTCTATACTCTTCTTTACGCTGTTGTTCCACCCTCTTCTTAAAATCTTCAAACTCTCCAAACTTCATCCCTGATTGAGGAGGTGTTGGGGCCTTTTTAAATTTGGGCTAAAATTGGAAGAAGATTTGTTCTTTCTTATGCATTTGCAAGAAGACAGCTTAAAATTTGTGTTTCTATTAAACAGATATAATATATACGAGGGGTGATAAAAAAAGTCTGCGTACTAATTGAATAACTTCCATAAAAGAAACAATATTTGGTGTCAGTATTGATTATATTCTAAATTAGTCCTCTCTGATTTTAATGCACATCTGCCACCGTTCTGCTCAAGCGCTGAGCATGTGATATAGACGCCTGACGGTCATGTGACCTCCTCCGTAGAGTTCTGTCACAAAAGCTATAAGATTTTTCTGAGTCTTACATTTCTTTCAATGCAAGTTACTGGTAATTTTTAATTTACTTACCCGATTAAGAAATTCATTATATTCTCTCCTCCTCTGGTCCTGAAAATTTCGCTCGATTTCATTATAATCTATCTCAGGTCTCCTAGGGCTCGACTGATGGCCTCCCTTCTGATGCTTTTATAGTCAACAAAATTAAACGTAAACATTTCTTTTCTATCAGTTAAACACTCACTATTCATTGAAAGATGAAATTATTAAAACTACATTCAGAAAATAAAGAGCTGTTTTATAATAAAATTGTGCATGTTTTTTTTTTTAAGTTACATCAAACAACATACTACATGAACAATTAATCATTTTATTTCAAAATATAAATGTATATATAGCAGATTTATTCTGACAAATATAAATAAAACTAAAATTTTAAACACAAATAAGCAGCAAAAAAAATTATGAAATCAAGCAGCAAAATGCATATATGTATATATTTAAAAACAGTCTAAAACAACATTCATCACAATAAAAATTAAAGCAAAACAAGAAATTACAGTCTATATACTGAAAATCTACATGCTGAAAGTTAATCATTTTAGTAGTTTATTATACAAGACATAGAAAGACAAATACAAACTAACTAAAGCCAGAAAACAAATAAAAAATACTAGCATAAATATGAAATGATAAATACATGATTTGGTATGAAATTGTTTCTTCTTTTTCTAGTATTTAATATGTATAATCTATAGATACATATGCACATATTTAGCAATGCCTCTAGACAAATTGGACAAAATCTATAGCTGCATGAAAATAAGCAAAAAGAAAAGGAAAAAAGAGCACTAGCTAACTTAAAAAACATGACACCATGCTTCCATGAAAGTTAACTCCCCCATACAATTCAGATACCGTGACAAACCATATAATACCTATGGAACAACATTCAATAACTGTAATCACCTGAGGAATATTACTGCTATCAGGGCCAGCCTCTTTCTGAACTGGGAGCCCCCCATCTCTCTGAGGATTCCCTCCCTTTTGCTCATTATTTTGTGCAATATTTGGGACTTCCTTACTTCCAGGTATTTTAGAGCCTGTCTTATTCTACATGTGTAATTATATAGGCATTATAATTATTACAATGAAGACTAATTTATCTTTAAAAACCTATAATTATTAAATCATTTTTGAATCAATATTTTGAATCATTTAGTTAAGAAAAAAATAATTTCACTTTAGGTCGTTTCATTAAATTCCAATATATTGCATTTATAAATGCATCTTTATTGCAAAAATCAAAAATATATAAATAAAATATAAAAAACATTTTAAGAATTCAAAGTAGCCATATAAGAAACTGTCACTGAGTATAAAATGTAATATATGTACCCAGTATTGTGAATTGTGCAGAAAAGCGAACAACTTATTAGGTCTGTACCTGTTTCTCTTTTAAAAACTCATTATATTCTCTTTTTCTTTCATCTCTCAACTGTTGCTGTTTTGAATTTGCTTTTTCATTTGTAAGAGGTAGTCCATCTGGATCAGATCTTACCCTCTGAAATTTAATTAATTTTCTTTCCAAGCAATAATATTGTAATGCGCTTTATGAATACTACTTTGTCCAAAAATTTTGCTATTACCCTCCATGCCAACATACAAAACAAACTCCACTGTAAAATTCCACTTCTGTCACATTTTATATCTTTTCAATAATCTAAAACCTATATCAGTAAGACAATTCCTATATCTTCGATTTTTCTGCCTACCTCATTAGCATAATTTGCTTCGATTGGTCGTTCCCATTGCCTACGTCCTGCCCTCTCATCATTTCTTTCCTTCTCCTGGATGAGAGTTTGTAGTTGTGTCACATTTATCAAGATATAAGATACAATTGAATTCATAAAATAAATTTTATTCTTGATTAATTAAGAGACTGGATAAATAATTTAAACAACTGAGAAATTATCTAAGTACATCATTGAGAGAGTTAGAGAAATTCTGGTTCATCTAATCCCTTATGCAAATTAAGCCAAAGAAATGTCTGAACCAGAATTTCACTAACAAACAAAATGATTTATTAAATGTTTTACTTCACTGATACAAAACAAAGGTCCATCCACAAAATTCACTGATTGACAATTGACAGCAGATGTTAAAACAGTCATCTGCTGGCTATAAAAGGAAAGCTAACTGACCCCATAATTTATAGCTTTGTATAATAAATATGTATATTTATGAACATACATGAGATTCCCTACAAATGTATATTCATAATAATGACACTTTTAAGTCCATTGCTCTGCATATTGGTCACATAATTTGCTTTCAAGCAAGAAATAGCTAGGACAAAATGTTTAAAACTGATTTCATACTGAAAACCTCAACATGTACAAGTGCATGGCCTGCTGAATCATTGTCGAGCTCTACTGTGAAATTTGAAAACAAAAGTCTGCAGTGATGTGACTCTATAAGTCTAGCTAATAAATGATAACATATAAAAATTGTGACTTAAATACGACTTAAAACTCTACAAAACTGAATTATGTTACAATACAGCATTCAATGTCTCCATTGCATACACCTATGCATGTATCAGACTACACACATAAGATATATACAAAATTTAAAAGTATATACTTCATTTCTTGCAATTGTGATATGTTATAAAAATATATGAAAACATCTCTGAATGAATGAATGAACAGACCAGTCTGTATGATTTTTAAAGCAACTAATTTTAAAAAACATTAGGTAGCCTACTCAACACCAGTTTACTATGTAAGCATGCATATAAAAGTCCACACCTCAAGACATCATCCACATAAATTATAGCATCATTGATTTAATAGCTGTTAGCTTGTAAGTTAAGCTAGCCATATAATGGATAATCCCTCAATACACAATCTACAAACAATCTTACCGACAGGTACTGCCTTTCCTGTTGTAGTTTTGCTTTCTGATTTTGAATAAATTCTTCTATGTCATTTTCAACAGCAGCTGCCATCCTCCCTGCAACAAGATTATGAGGCTTGTATTGGTTTTTCCCATTAAAAAATAGATATATTTATCTAATTAGTACTTGTGTAAATGAAATATAAACTCAGTTTGTGTGCAGTGAGGCAATGAACATGAGAAATAAGTACAATAATGGATGAGTTGTTATAAAGCTTTAACAAAGAAGACCATCGCCACTAGCATCATTCCTCAGTGATGGAAGAGAGTTGTAACAGTTAGATCTACTATAAGACTAATAGACCCTCGGTTTTTGTATAAAACTTATTTTGATAGTAGTATTACAGTAGTTATTTAGTTCTGTATAATACATTTTCTTTATAATGAATATCAACTTGACCAAAGTTTTTACACAAATTGATTAACTTATATGCGTTTTTTAAAACTAAATGGTTAAACCCCAATCATCTGTCAGAGATTAAACTAAATACCTGAATGTTATTTTTCTCTCTCTCCGTTTCAGATTATGGCGTTTATAGCAACCTGTGTTTTCTTCGATTTGTTTACATGTTTTGGGTTTCTGTCAAACCATTGTCATCGAATACCATCGAGAACACGTGTTGTACACTCGTTATAAGTTAAACTTTTGAGTCTGTTTTAAGACATACAAAAAATATCAAAAGGTTTATTTTTTTCTAAGTATGCGAGAATGAACTTGAAAAGGAAATGTATCATGAAATATGCACTGCGCATGCGATTTATTCGGAACACTTCGGGTCTTTACCTAGCAAAGCGCTTATGGGAACCAGACAATCGGCTGGTCAATCGCGTTATCTCGGGTCTTTCCGTCTGACGTCGGAACATACCCGTGAATTTGCGATTGCTTCTCGAGTCTTTCCGACAAATTCTGAAAAGACTCGAGGAGTTGGAGCTGCGATTGTCGACTGTCTCCGTAACCTTATTCACTCAGGCCGTCGAGTGTCTTGTAAAAAGACCAGTTTATATTTTATTATTTATCTAACGCACAGGCATCTGACGTGACTTATTTTTCTTTTGATAAAAAAAATAAACAAGGTTAGGTAGGATATTTTTTTTTTAAAATAAGTAACGTCAGATGCCTGTGATCTAACGTTACATTATTTGCAAATTGAGTATAAGCGACAAATCTCGGGCCTATCCGAAAAGCGGAGATTCAGTTCCCGAGCTTTTTGGAAAGGCTCGAGAGATAGTTTCGTTCAACCAGACACTCGGCTGTCTCCGTAAATATCCGACGAGCTGGTCGGAGGTTTACGGAGACAGTCGAGCGTCTGGTTGAACGAGATTTCGATAGAAGGCAATGCATTCCTCAGTCAAAGAAACAGTCTAATGAAATCGGCTAAACTACGGTAGATTCCGGTAACCAATTAAAACATAATCATTTTTACTGTGATATGCCTGATAAATCTAGGATTTTTTACACAGAAATTTTTGTTTGTGTAAAATCTCACTCAGAGCTCCTCGGGTCGTTCGTGCACTAGTGAGGCAAGGAACCGAGGACTGCCGAAAACTTTCCCATTCGGTGCGGACCTCGCATACTTTGTCATCATGCATCATGTGAACGCTTGTCTTGACTGCTGAGAGTGCCATGGATCAAAGGAAAAGGTTAGGAAGCTCTATTTGTTTGTAAAGATTGAAGCACATTAATTTGAGTATTTTGATCATGGTCCAAATGTGTAAAATTATAGTGAACACAAATTATAAATGAAAAGCATATAAACTATAGATAGCAACAACGTAGCAACGGACTATGCTCTTCTGTCAAAATATTGAAAAATATTCGTTTCGATATCTCAGTGGCAGAAATAAACATATAAGTGATATAATATTGACAAATTGTTCTATCTTAAAATAATGTTGATGTAAATTGGTTTCTTTCCTTTGTAATTTTTTCATGTTTACAAACAATAAAATGAAAGTTCAATCACATAATTAATTAATTATTTTATCTTGTTTGACAGACATATTGTGCCTTACCCTATAAATAATAGGGCTGGGACGATATATCGAGATATCGATATATCATAATATCAATGATCAATGATTAGTTTTACACTTTTTAAACTGACCCACTGCTCGTAATTGTCATCTGAAATATAAACCTGTTATATATCTAATCAAGTAGTGAACATGTTGAATTTCCCAAAAATTATTTACATGTGTACAGGATAATTAACTCTCAAAATATTGGTCATCTGATCAGCTGATTGACTCTCCATTGATTGTCACACTTCACAGCATAGTCGCCGATTAACGACGTGTTTGTTTAGCACAGTCCGCTTACATTTGAGGCATGCGAGGTGCATGGCAGTCGTAGTATAAACACAATTAACTACTCAAGTCATGAAAACAGTAGGTGTTAAGACTGAAATGCAATAAAATTTAATCATGGCGGCTGCCGATTTTAACCATGGCGCAGCTCGTTTAACCATGGCGCACATAAATTTAACCACGGCGGGCCGCCATGGTAAAACCCCTTGTCAATGTGGAGAACCCTGCAATTAGACATATCGTGATACATATCGTATCGTGGCTCAAATATCATGATACGTATCGATATAGAAAAAGTTGTATCGTCCCAGCCCTAATAAATAACTTTATCCCATTTAGGAATATGACACAGATTAAAGAATTCTGCATCAAACCTGAAGAACACATGGGATAATGACTAGTATTCCACAATGGTGAAATTGACCATAGACCTTATTGCAAGGGGTACCTCAGGGTACACTAAGAAGAAACGAGATGAATCCATGCAACAGTATTTGAAACGCCTTACTCATCTTTATTTAGAAGACAGATCCATCGATGAAGTGGTAATTAAATTACTTCCTTTAAAAAGAATATTACAGCTAATGGTAAAAAAGTCTTACATATACAGAATTTTGGATATAGCTGTATTTTTATACTATATGACAAATATTTTTGTAAAAAGAAAAATGCATTTCAGGGTGAAGATTTATCAATGTGCAGGAACTTGACTGTACTGTATTTGTATGATAATCAGCTACTAAAGATCCCTGTCCTGCACCATAACCAGCATTTGACCATGCTATACCTGCAGAACAATGACATTCATAAAATAGAGAACCTATCACCACTAACAAGGCTGACCA